CTCCCTCGGCTAGGAAACGGAGATGAGTACCGCCCTCTAGAGTCAGTCATAACTGGACTTTAATGTCAAGGGGAAACCTTTACCTTTTATCGATACTTAATTACAAACGAGTTCCACTAAGCTCATTGGGACATGCTGCCAGGATCACAAGGGCTCCATCCTTGCAGCACACACTCCTGCATGTCTAATTTCATGCCACTGTATTCCGTGGGCTTACTCACATGTAATTATGTATAACACTGAAGCATTAGGCTCATCTGTACTTGCTTCAGAGTATATTGTGCTGCAAATCTCTCATTTTTACACAATTCCCCTTCTGGTATTGCCTGGATTACATAGGGATGGGCACTAATATCCACCCCCACCCCCACCCCAGTTTCGTGATTTTAACAGGGACTCCAGGACTAACCTGTGTAAAAAATAGCTAGTCTGGGGTAGTCTAATGGATTTAAAAGTGAGGTACTTACAGTGTAACATTGCAGACCCATTTTATTGTTATCTATCATACATGTTGGCAACACAGTTCAATCTGAAACTCTAAAATGTTAGTATCTTCTTACAAAACTATCTTAAAAGTATATAGATCCCAAATTTCTGTTAGTTCACATAGACTGGAGACTCACATGCAATCCTATGCATTGTACACAGAAAAAGTCTGATGAAAGAATGCAGGCAGTTGTCTGACTTTTTTCCTCTCCAAACATGGATAAGGTGAGCCCCAGTAATTATCTTTCTGCCTCTTAGTTCAAAGAGAAGATGGAAGCCTAGCTCTTGTATTTCTAAGTTCTTTACTGCAAGCACAAGAGGCCACCTTGTGGCCTGTTCTAGTTATTACACACTGCCGTTTTTAGTGACAACCCAAAGGCGCTAACGACCTGCTTCCTTTGGGGTGCTCAGAGTAACTGGCATTAATGAACAGAGAAAAGTTTCATCATGAGAAGCATCTGCTGGATCAGAGCAAACATCCATTTAGTCTACAGCCCATTTCCCACATTGGCTTGTCAGGGTCTTCCTGGAGGCTCACCCATGGGACATGAAGGCAACTGGAAAGTTCCTGTAGCTGCTTTCCTTGGAAAAGGTATTCCTTGGAGACTGCGGCTTGCATGCAGCCAACATGACTGGTAACCACTGATAGACTTACTCCTCATGCATAAATTCCCTCAACTCCCTTTAACATGATTTCTTAAATTGCGTATCTATACTTACCATTATGGATTTCCTGCTCATCAGCTTCCTTGGGTGACCCGGGTTCTGGTGTAAAAAGTGAGTGTGTGTGCTGGTGGAAACTGTATCTTTCTCTCCTTTTGTCACAATATAAGTAATGTTATAAACTTCTATACTCTTCCTTATTAATCCTTTCACTGCAGCAGCCTTGCTTAGTTTGGTTGCCCTTTTCTGCACCTTTTCCAGTTCTACTATTTCCCTTTTGAGATACAGTAATGAGAATACTATTTCAAGTGTGGTTGTAAGTTAGATTTGCATTACAGGAATAAAAGCATAAGAAGAGCCATGCTGTGTAAGATCATAAGAACATAACTCCTCTTACGTTTCCTAAAAAATTCCAGCACGGAATTTACTTTTTTTACAGTACCACAAAATTGGGTAAGGGTTTTCCCTAAGGTATCTACCACAGCCCTTAGAAGCATTTCCTGGCTTGTCACTGACAGTTCATTGTAAGTAAAGGGAGGAATGGAGAGTTAGGTTTTTGTTTTATTTCTTTGTGTGTGTGTTGTTTGTTCTTTGCACCGATGTTCATCAGTTTACGCTTACTCCACAAACCATGTTTCTCCCATTTGTCCAATTTGGAAAGATATTGCTAGAACTCTTCAAATCTACTTCAGTTTTTACTACCTTGAATAATTTGGTGTCATCAACATATGTGGCTATTTCTCTCTTCCAAAGAAATTAAGAAACAATTGTCCATTATTTTATAACACTTTCTTATTTTATTTCATTGTGAGAACCATCATTTTCTTCACTTTCTTTCTCTGTGTTTAACCAACTTTCAGTCAACAAAAGAATCCTATAGGATATCTTTCTTAGCCCATGACTGCTGCAATTACTCAAGGGCCTTTCGTAGAGAAGTTTGTCAACAGCTTTTTGAAAGTCAAAACTTACATAATCTCCTGAATAACCTTTATCTACACATTTCTTGACATTGTCAAGGGTCTGTAAAATGCTAGTCATGTAGGACTTCCCTTTACAAAAGCTGTAAAATCAGCCATTCCTGTTTCTACATACTTGATCATTTTATCTTTGATAAAGATTTTCAGATGTCAGCTCAGATAAAAGCTGTGATCAAGAATAACTGCAATCAGCTTTGGCTGATTCAGCAACTGCATTCCTTCTTGGAGAAGAATGACCTGAAAACACACTGGTAACTTCTAGGCTTGATTTCTGCAATGTGCTCTCCATAGGGCCAGCGCAGAAAGTACAATTACTACAAAATATGGCAGCCAGGCTGGTCTCTGGGACATCATGGAGAGACCAAATATCACCTATGTTAAGTCTCTGCATGGTTGTTAATACACTTCTGGATACAGTACAAGCTGTTGGTAATTACAGTTAAAGCACTTCGTGGCTTGGGTCCAAAATACCCTCAGGAGCACCTTTGCTCATGCATTCCGACTTGCCAGCTAAGGTTTTCTTAAGTTTCCTTCTGTAAGATTCATGTTAACTACCCAGAGGACTTTTCCAGTGGTTGTCCCTAAGCTGTGGTATGGTCTGCCAAGAGAGAGATGCATCTGATCTCACAAATCCCCACTGTTAAGAGGGAGTTAAAAACATCTTTCTTTCAACAGGCCTTCCCAAATTAGTTCTCATGTCAGTTTTATGTAATATGTTGTAGTAGTCAATATTACTCACTGTTGATTTAATTTCTTGTAAACTACCTAGAGCCTATGGGACTAGGGCAGTATATAAATGTTAAGATAAATAAACTAAATAAATAGAGGTTTTCCATCAATTTATTCAGAACAGATACGTACAAAGCAATCCTGTGCCCCATAGGCAGTGTCTAGGGAGTCTCTGAACTTCCAGATCCATGGCTGGACACTGCACTCCAGCCTCAGCGCTGGGGATTCCCCACCACCACCTTGCAGCTAGTATAGAAAGGCCTGTGCCAGTTGGTTCACCAAGGTCATAAGAATGCCTTTGGAGAAAGGGTAAAAGGAGTGTTTTGGGGCAGAGATAGTGACCATCAGGATATGACCTAACTTGATAGCATGATAGCCTCCTGCTTTCCTGTTCCATAGCACTGCAGCTAGATGGCTGAATTCAACCATCTGGCGGACTTGCAGGGCAGGAGAAGCAGAGAGGTGGAAACCGCTTCCCCTGCCACTTCCTGCAGAGGATGCTCCCAGTCCTCCAAGTTCACAGGCTTATGGGCAACCCAAATGGTCTGTAAACTAAATCAACTGGCTCATACTTTCCTGGTCACTCTTCACACCTGAGCTTTGATTGTTGGAGTTTTTAATAATCCCCAAACATCTGAGGGAGATTTGATCCTCTTCTGGGTTCATCCAGCTTTCTTTTAACTACAATGTTATGGGTATGGGGTTGACTTAAAAGGAGATTCTGTTTAGTGCCTCTTGTCTTCTAAGATACTTAAAACCTAATTTAGTAGATCTGTCCTGTGAGTGTTCCGAGGCAGCATCTCTTAAAACTTGCCAACAGACAGTTGATAGCTGCTAACATTACAGTGATGTGCTGAATAGGAGCTAGAATCAGAGGCAATACTAGATACCGAAAAGAACTGGACATTTGACTTCAGAGGGGGAAATGTTCAGACAGAAAGATCCAAGGTGTGTGCGTGCATGTATTGATTCTATAATGGTAGAGGGAAGCACAATGTGGGCAATTAGAGAGCTAATCCAGGACAATCCATTGCAACAGAGATCATCAGGACCCTTTATCTTTTTTTCAGCATGAACCCATGGGAAGCAGGGTGATGGAGCTGCTGGGCTCCTGGAGATTTAAAGCCTCAAATAGAACTTTTGAGATTCTAGCCCTAGCCAGTTGTCCCTAATTCTGTATCTGCCTAGGATGGCTCGAGAGCCTAGGTGATGACTGGAAATGACATGTCTTTCTTCCACCCAAAAGGAGAAAGAGAAGGAGGTCTGTTCATGAGGAACTCTGTGCTTGACCCTGAACTGAAAAGGAGGTAGAGAGATGGCTTTGTTCTGTCAGAAACCCTACGGCATTTAGGATTTCCCTAGAAATAGGATGGGGAACAGGAAACGCCTGCAGTGGTAAGGCTGTGGACCCTCATCTCATGTTAATATCTATATATCTCTATATAGGCTGACGTTCCTAATGACTGCCTTCTCTGGATATGGAGCCTTGGATAAGCACTGCAAATCCTGAAAATGTTTGCCACTCAGAACCAGAAGTACGAGCCGGGTGTCCAAACAGTACGTTCTGAAAATCTCCTTTGCTGCAGTCAAAACGTGTAATGCAAACTTCTAGACCTCCCTGAAAGGTCATCTTCAAACCAGACTTTTACACTAGAATGCGGTAGAGTTTACTCGCATGAAGACGAACCGTACCGGTACCATTCCCCTGATAAGTGAGCACACACTTCCTGAAGTCCAGTTTAACAGTGGTGGAATATTTTTACGGGCTGGTAGAGGCAGGCTGCACTCCAGTTGCATTCCTTTCTTCTTGGACAAGATCCCGGGTCTCTCTTGGGCGTATTCTTGCTGTACAAAGGCCGGCTGTAGCAACTGATCAACTTCTCGGTGGCGCTAATGCACGTCCGCAGCCTCGCAAGTTGATTGCGCTGCCCGCTCTCGTTCGTGCACGCCTCCTTCCTTTCTGGCCCGCGTTGCTTCCTGCTTGGCGACCAATGATCACAACCCGGGCTGCCGAAGGGGACGCGGATTGGCCTCGCGTTGTTTCAAAGAGGCGGGCCCACCAAAGGGTTTTAAGGTCTGGGCAGGCTGCTCTTGCTGAGTGCGTGTTTCTGCATTTCTGGCCGGCACCGGGTTTCACGTGGCCACGCGGCGCTGCACAGGGTGAGTAGTGGTCCCAGCCGCAGCAGCGCCTTCCTGCGCCCGCTGCCAGTGCCGAGCGGGGGGCGAAGAGGGTGGTCTCCTGAGCTGCGGATTTGGGTTCTACCGGGATTTGGTCCCTGAGTGCCAAGCTGGCAAAGTTTCCCTTCCTTGTGGGCAGAGGGCGAGGAGGAGCCGTAAGAGATTGGCGTTTCTCTCCTCATCCCTTCTTCCTGTCCGGGCCTCCTTTTTAAAGCCTTAGTCTCCGTCCTGCCTTTCCCCAAGCCTTTCCCTAGCACGGACGGAATTAATAATGATTGCAGCGCTGATTTTGTGCAGGGGTTGTAGGTTTCGCTGCCACTGCCTCAGCCGCAGCAGCAGCTTCCGTGCTTGGCGATGGAGGCCCGCCCCAGTCCTCAGGGTGAGTAGGAGCAAAGCGGGGTGCTGTCTTCCTTTGTTGGGGGTTTCTCCCTGGAATGCTGAGTGTTTCCTTTACGCTTTGGTGCAGGGGTCTCAAACTCAACTTACCTGGGGGCCGCTGGAAGTAGAGTCTGGGTGAGGCTGGGCCGCATCAAGTATTCTACCACCCCGGTGGGTGCTGGGCCGCTCATCCGGAGGCCGGCCCGGGCGCTGCCACCCCTCCCCGTGCCCTGCCCATCCCGGCAATTGGCCCGCGGGCCACGAGTTTGAGACCCCTGCTTTGGTGCGTTTCTGCCCTTCCTGGGACTGGCGAGTCAGAGAAGCAAAAGCCAGGCCCTAACTCGCGGAGTGCCTTGGGGTACTATAACAAGTGGGTGTCCTTTCTTTCAACAGCAGCAACAAACCACAAAGTCAGTCGTGTTAACCACAAGTAAAATCTGCAATGATTCGTTTTATTAGGCCACTGGAAAGATCAGCAAAAGTGGGGAAGTTTTCAAGATCTTGAAATCTTCACCAAACAAGATGTTGTTAAAAAGTAGGCTGGGTTGTGGGGAACAGCGAAAGAAAAATTGCTATTTGATGGTGAAATCGCATTTGTGTGCAAGCTCTGGGTCCCATCCCCACTACAGGTGCACTTTCATCCTGCGTTCCTATCTCCGTGAAATTTCTGGCAGCTGGAGGTGCAGGAGACCAGAAAGCTTCTGAGAGTTGAGTAGTTGCAGAAAGGTAGTGATAGTACAAGTGGGTTGTCCCTGGAAAGCCACAGCCCAGTGCAGACTGTTCCATAAGTAAGAGGCACCAAAATACCAAAAGCAATGGGATGGGCTTCTTAAACACACTTGAAATGCTGATGGGGGGGGGGGGGGGAAGGCTGCAGTGTTGCTACATTCAGAAGCTTGGCACTTCAGAAGCACTTCTCCCTTGCTATTCACTTCAAATCAGCTGCTGCTAATTTTGATTTGGGAATTGTCATTCCACTCTGGTACTAGCACATAGTGATACTTTCTGCTCCTCATGGCAATTCTTTGTAACATTCTGTCCCCTCTCCTTGTTTTCAGGTTTATTTTCCTTCCCTCTTGGGATGCAGCCCTCTCCCCTACTTGTTTGTTGGAGCTGTGCTAGCATTTTCAGTGTCAGTTGCACCTCTTCAATTATTTTGTGCTTAGAATGATTGCAGAATGCCAGATCAAACCTTGCTGGTGAGATCAAATAATATCCTCCTCCTGTACCTGCCACACAAGTTGAGCCTGCTTTCTCTGTAAACTGTATATATTTTTCAATAAGAAGAAATGATCTCTATTAGTGTACTAATAAATAATGACAAATAAGCCAGCAAGAACCATCACAAAAACATACAGGCACCAGCATTAGTGTCATCATTATTAGAAACAATAATGTTAGAGACTCTGCTGATAGAACTGCCTTTAGTGCTTCTCTAAAAGTAAGCAGTGATGGGGCCAGGTGTAACTCTTGAGAGGCTGTTCCAAATTCTGCAACCAGAAAGGGTCCAGCCTTGTTTATTAGGCTGAATAAAGACCTGTGGCTTCAGAGCAGATTGAGTACTGGGCAAATTCATTTGGGGTGACATGATTTCATAAAGAACCATGCCCCCGCCCCCAAAAAAAAGCTTTGCCATGAACACTTTTCTCCCTTTCAGTTACTTTTATTACCCACTGCATTAAATTGGCTGTGGACCTGCTTAATGTGGTAGGTTACACTAAAGATATATAAAGCCAGCCTCATATTCTTACTCCTTGGTAGGAGTCCAGGGCATGCACAAGTGTTGCAGACTTGCTGCCAAAAAGGTCTTCCTTGTGAAAAATGCAAAAGCAAACAGTATATTCTCTGACTTGTCACCATTTCATTTTGGGGTGTTCCATGTCACTTTCCATGCCCGGAAGCCACTAGAAGGAGGATGTAGAAAACTTGCCAGGTGCTGAAGACACCTGGTCAGCACTCTCAAACAGCTCGGAGAAGAGATTGTTTTTCATAGGGAGATGGTTTTTCATGGCGCACCGTTTGATTGGGCCCTGAATCTGACAAAAGAAGACCACAGCATATATTAAGGCTATCCATTGTTGCTAGTCCTGATGGCTGTATGCTGCCTCCAGTATTGGAGGCAGTATGCTAGGGAGCACATATAGGAAAGCACTGCTGCAGTCATATTTTTTATTTTTTATTTATTTATTGATTTATATCCTGCCTTTTTCCTACAAAGGGCTCAAGGCAGCTTACATCTCCTCCTCCATCTGATCCCCACAACAACAACAACAACCCTGTGAGGTAGGTTGGGCCGAGAGTCTGTGACTGGCCCAAAGTCACCCAGTTGGCTCCATGGCTGAGCGGGGACTCGAACCCAGATCGTCTGAGTCCCAGGCCCATGCTCTTAACCACTACACCACACTGGCTCATATCTTGCTTGTGGGTTTCCCATGAGCAGTAGACACACTGTATGAACAGAATCTTTCTCTCAGCCTAACGAGTTGAGGCTAACTCTTACAAGAATTTGTTACTGGGCCAAGCTTTGTTGCCTGGGAGAAGGCAAAATCCTTTCTCTTTCCCTTAAAGCTCTTTACTGATGTTTTCCAAAGCAGGCAGTAGGCTGCTACTGTATCACCAAGGCAGATGCATGGTTTCTTGTGGGATTCTACACATATTTAGCCACCTTGAGACTACAGTAGTAGGCAACATATAAATGAAAGTATAAATAAATTTAGAATCAAGGAGCTAGTTAGTAGTGCCACATTTCAGCATGTAATAGTGCAATATAAGTGCACACCACCTAATTTGCATGAACAGCAACTTTCTTTTGCTTATATAGCAGAATATTAATGGTGAAATGGGGCATTTGAGTTTTGATGAGCACATCTCAACTTGGAAGTTTGCTCTTTACAGTTGTGCTGCTGGTTTTTGTTTTGTTTTTTTTGACAGTCTTGTTGCATGGTTCTGCTTCTGCAAGTGTGGCATACAGTGCAAAGGGCTGCATCTGGTGGGCCATATATTAAATCTGCATCACTTCCTGAAAAGCTTTAGGAGGATGCAATTCTATGCATGGGGCAAGGCAAAATCCTTTCTTTCCCTTGAAGCTCTTCACTGATGTTTTCCAAAGCAGGCAATAGGTTGCTAGTGCATCACCAAAGCAGGAAGAAGTAGTACTGCAACTCCCAACATTCTGGTAATGCTGGGAATTGCAGCTCCTTTTTTTCTGTCAGAAAAATCTGTAGAATTGCATTGTTCAGCATTTTAAATGAACAGCGTACATGGCTTTGATGACTTTGCATTTGCCTATGCTTTGACCTATGGAATGATTCAAACAGATCTGTCTTGCTTAAGAGGTTCTCATGACTTGCTTTAATCTGTGCCTCTGCAGTTTTTTTTTAAAGGCAGATAAAAGCTGTCAGCTGAGGCTGTAGTCTGTTGAAAGCTCTGATGTTTACATCTCATTTCTTTACTTTCTTTCACATCCACTGTTTAGATTTTTCAGCTGCACTCTTCCAATTGGAACATGTCATCAGTTCTTGAGACCCTCTTTGAGTATGTTGATAAACACCAGGACCTATATGTTGAGGTAAGTGGTATGCCCTGCATTGGTGTTAAATTGGGAGCAGAATGACTTTTTCAGCCCAAGGGCCAAATTGCGAACTGAGAAAGATTGCACTGGGGGCCACATTGCATCTGTGGACAGAGCTAAAGCCAGAGTCAATGCAGCCAAATGCAAGCAATCCCTGTTTAAGCTCACTCAGAATCAAGTGGGTAGAGTTGCTGCATGTCTGCACAGAAGTAAGCCAGACTGTTTTATTCAGCACTTTCAAATAGCATCCCAAATACTGAGCTTATATGCCTGATCACAAAGCAGGCAGGTTTTCTGGCTGCCAAAGACACACCTTAATTCTGTGTAGTAGGTCTCCAGGCAGTAGAAGGCACAGCTCAAAATCTTTCGTGACTCTTTTGTGTGAATGAGGATGAATTGTTTTTAAATACCCTCGATCTGTGAACGAGGCAACAGTTTGCCAACCACACGGGTTTGCTTCACATTCAACCTGCAAGCAGGAAGTTACCCATCCTTAGTTTCCATCCAACCTTTTAACAGCAAAGACTATCAGGAACGCTGAGCTGTAACATTCATTCTCAAGAAGAATGAATCTAAAAAAAAGGTTTCAAAAGAGTAGTTAGCTTTTTTTGGTTGATGAATCACAGGAAGAGTAGTTCTACCTGTCCTGATATACATGCTAAAGAGAGAGATTTTATTTTACTAGCTTGGACGCTTCTGCAAATAAAAGCTTTCCATCTCTCTGACTATGCACTGTGCTGTGATTTACTGGGCTGGTGTGGATGCAACAGTATAGTCTCAGGGTTAAGAGACCAGGCACATGCTATAGGATCACAAGAGCCTTCTTATTGTATGCCTCAAAAGCTTTATGATGCAATCCCAAACATGTGACAAGGTAAAATCCTTTCTCTTTCCCTTGAAGTTCTTCATCAGTGTTTTTCAAAGCAGGCAGTCAGTTGGTAGTGCATCACCAAAATGGGAAGAAGTCCTACAAGCTATGCTGGCTGGGGAATGTGGGAATTGCAGATCTTTTTATTTTTCCTTTTCTGTCAGAACTTCTGTAGGGTTGCATTGTTCAGGACTGAGGGTGCAGTCCTATGCTGGTTGGGGAATGCTGGGATTTGTGGGAGTTTGCCTGTTTAAACATGCATAGGATTGCAACACCATCCTTGACCTCCGTGATGCTAAACTAGGTATTCAGACATTTGGCCTGTAAGGCCCAAGGGAAGCTTGGATAGAGATGGAACATGTCCAGTGGATACTTTCCTTGTAGGAGGAAAGGGAAATTCCTGCCTCAGAACAGGCAGTGATGATAAGAGGGTTTGGGAATAAATAATATCACGTATCCTAGTTACTTCAGTAAAGTCTTTCAGATGGCAAGTGGGAGGTCACATGACTGAATGTTCCTCTGCAGAAAATAGTAAATGGTTATTCCAGCACATAGATGACTATTAGATTGAAGAGAAGGGTTCTGTCTTTATTCCTCACCGACATGCTGGTATTCTATAGGATGGAGTGCTTGTTCTGATTTTTGGCATGGAAGAGCATTGATTCAGCCCTCAGCAGTGATATAAAGTGGTGCATTCTAGATAGCATCTAACTGAACAATTGGATGGTTGGTGAAATGCACGGGATAGTCAGGTTTTGCAGTTACACCCAAAGATAGATTGCATTTCCTGAGTTGGAAAATCACTTTACTGGCAGAATGGAAGCTAGCTATGACTTGGGCTTGGCCTCAAGACACAATTCATGTGGTGACTGTCATAAGTCTTTTCTTTATTCTTGCAAAACAAGAGGGTTGACTATCTCTGTAGGCAACAGATGAGCAATTTTTCTTGCACAGAAGACCAACTTGTAGGCCAAAACTTATGGAGAGTTTGCCCATCCATATTCTAGAAGAATAATTGCTATGATAGTCAGTCTACCTTGAACAGAGACAACCTGTGAGTACTTCAAGTGAAACAAAGGCTATGAACATGGAAGAACAGTGCTGGTTTGGGTAAAGAGATGTTATTTGGTCTGTGACCAAGACCAAACTGAAAGAGGAAAACTAGATTATTTTATATTGTTATTTTTTACATTTTAACTTAATGTTTGTATTCTACAAACATTTTAATTTAATGTTGTAATTTAATGTTTGTATATTTTTTAACTTAATGTTGTAAGCCGCCCCGAGGCTTCGGTGAATGGGGCGGCATAAAAATGTTTTAATAAATAAATAAAATTCTTATCTGTTGCAATAATGGTGCAACGGATTTCATCTTGACCTAAAAGTGAATAGGTTTTCTTGATACCAAAAAGTTGGAAAAACTCCCGAGCACCAATGCAACACACTCTTCAAGATAATATAAACATTAGCTTTCTCTTCAGAATATTTAAAATTTGCCCTTTTCAGTGTCTTTCTAAAAACAGCCGAACAAAGTGAAGCCACACAATAAATATTTCCTTTCCTTCTTCATCTACACCCATGTCTTTTTCCTCAACTTCTTGAATGTAGCGGCTGGCCCAGTGGGTGGCAATACAGAGCGTGTCAGCATGGGCAGAGAAGAGAGGAGAAGTCAAGCGTATGATGGAAGTTGCTGCCAAGGATATTGAACGGCTCGGGGGGACTGCTGAGCTAAAGGACATTGGGAAACAGAAGGTAGGAAGTTTTGTGTTTATCAAGAGAGCTGGGAAACAGTTTTAGCTGCAAAGAGAAGTGTTTTTTTTAAAACTAGATTCATTAATGCATATGTTTTAGAGAAAACATCTTCCTTCTGTTTGATGACCAGAGATGATCGCTGCTGTCACATTGTCCTGGGACTTATGCTACTGTTTTTGAATAGATAGCTTAACAACACTCAAGATAAAACTGCTAGTGCTGTTCTAAACACGTTGAGGAAACTGGACAAAAAGATGGCAAGTCGAGAGAGACCTCCACTACCACTGTCTTCTACTTGTCGCTTCCCTCCATTAGTCCTTAGCTGTCATATGCAGGATACCGAGTAGTGACATTGGTTACTAAATGTATACAAATTTCAAGGCAAAGCACTAAAACTAAGGGGGGAACTGCAAATTTTATGGGAGACTACAATGGAAGAATCATGCAGCTTTTCATAGCTTTGGACTTTCACTTTTATGTTTGAAAATTACTAATTTGGAGGTCATCTAGTCCAAACTTCTGCTCAATGCAGGATCTACCATTTGGGAAGTAACCACAGAATCTCTAACAGATGACCATTCACTTCCATACTGCCTGCAAAGTCCTGTTCAACTGCTGAACAGTGCTGGTTGTTAGAAAGTTGCTTCTCGTGTTTAGCCAAAAATGGCTTCTCTACAGTTTCTACCCAGTGGTTCTAGTTCTGCCCTCTGGAGCAACAGTGAAAAAAATTTGCTCTGTCTTCTGTGCAACAGCCCTTCCAATATTGGAAGGCAGCTATCATGCGTACTCTCTCTGCCCTAGCCCTCTTTTTGAACTTTTGGTTTATACCATTTTGCAGTAAAATGCATTGTGCTCACAGAAAAGTCCCCTCAAAATACCTTGCATTGACATTAGCGTTTCTAATTTCAGCTGCCTGATGGTACAGAGATTCCTTTACCTCCAATAATTCTGGGCAAACTTGGCTCGGATCCTCACAAGAAGACTGTTTGTGTCTATGGACATCTGGATGTACAGCCTGCAGCACTAGAGGATGGCTGGGACAGTGAACCTTTTACCTTGGTAGAAAGAGATGGTAAGACATACAGAGGCCTGCCTTAGGCTTCTCAATTGCTAACCATTGAGGTAATATGTCTAAACTGGTCTCCTTAGAGTCAGCCTTGAGAAGGCTGGTTACATGCAGCCTCCCTAGTCTTTTAGGCCATCTTCAGCACTATTGATTTACTGCTGAAATTTGGCACAGGAGTAAAAAAAAAAGAGCTGCTTTTCCCTTGTTTTAAAGCTAATAAGCAGTGGCTTGCAAAAGAACCAAAATAAGGTGATGCTGATAGTAGGTTCAGTGCAAAGACCAGCTTAGTGCACAAGCTTAGTAACCACAGAGGGTTCTGTACAGTTGGAAAAGAAAAAAAGGAAACCCAGCAATAGGATGGAATATTGTTGGCATGGTTGGCTGACCAGCACCCTGAACTGGCGTGATGCACTGAAGCCTTCTTTCCTTCTTACAGTGCTGCTTTCAGCAATGCTACAGTGCAGAAAATGCTGCCGCCCTTGTTTTTTCTTCTGCTGACTCAGTCTGTCAATCACCAGAGTGGAAATGACTTCCTTTACAGTTGTAGATAAGCATGTGACTTGGATGCAGAAAGCTGATGACTGAGCTAAAGCGGCCTTCACAAACTGTGATTCTGTACATTGTACAGCTGCCAGCTGAGTTTCTTTATTCTTAAACAAGCACACACCCCTTTGCAGAATCTTTAAGATTTTTTTCACGTGAGCCATGGAAGTCTTTCATTACAAGATCTCTTCCATGTCTCCGTTTAACTGTGCTCCAGTTAGATGCGACCAGTCTGTGCCTGCCAGGGATCCATAGCAAAGGTGAGGGGTTAGTGCTTGGAGACAAAACATGAACCTAGGCCGCATGCAGTATTTATTCCTTAGCACACTCTCCACTCAGGTTGTGTCTTCCTGGCTGGCTAAACCTGTAGGCCCAGCTGAGGCAACCTGTTTGAAATAAAGGCCTGGTGTGTGTGCGTGTGAGAGACGCCACAAGAGCAAGTTCTGCTTGTCTGTCTAGCTTTAGTTTAGTTTTTTTATTTTCTGGCTGCAGACCAAGAAGATTAAAAAAAACCAGATTAAAATAGCAGTAGAAAAAATTAAAACACAATTAAAAGAAGTACAGCTTGCACAATGTTTTCATGTAAACAGGTCACCACATTTTTCCTAATCTGTATGGCAGTTATAAACAGTTTGGCACCATTTCCAGTAACATAAGAAGATACATCCTTTATACACATAGATACCAGATGGATCTTTATTCCCATAAAGATATTTTATTAATAGTTTAACCAGTTTCTCTCTGCATTTCCTATAGAAGCTGCAATATAAGAACAGGTTCCACTGTTGCTACTGCTACAGTACCACAAGAACATTTCCATCTCATCGGTTGTGCTAGGCTCATTCAAATTGGCCGTGCAATGCAGCTTACACTGCCTTTGTCAATCCTGCAGTTATTCCTATGAAGCATGCACATGGCCAGTGAGCTGACCCTGGCATGTCCTGTGGCCAGAGCAGGCATTACTTTAGCTCCAATGGGTGGTTGCAAACAGCACCAGGTGCTCCTGGATGACATGGATATCTGGATTGATTTCAGTCAGGGTTCAGTCTGGGTTTTGGCCCAGAAACAGAAGCATGGTCATCCTGTGCAGTGCCTTATGTAAGGACTGAAATGGGGGAATTTTACTGTATTGATACTCCTGGATCTCTTGGCAGCTTTTGGTTCAATTGACCATGGTATCCTTCTGGGAAGATAATCCAAGCTGGGAATGGCGAGTGTGTCATTGGAGTGGCTTTTCTCCTACTTGTTTGAGAGATGCTGCTTGGCCCTCCAGGTTTTCCATCATGGGGCTCTGCAGGGCTCAGTTCTCTTTCCCATACTATTTAATATCTTTATGAACAGGATCCTGGTGATACACAGCTCTGTTTCCCCTTGGTTTCATCTGGGGAGGCTGTGAATATGCTAGACTGGTGTCTGGCTGTGGCAATGGAAGAGATGAAGGCTAACATATTGCAGAAAAGACAAGACTGGGGTGCTCTTAGTGGGTGCTTTTCTGACCAGATGTTTGGTGCTCATCCTGTTCTAGATGGGATTGTGCCACCCCTGGAAGAACAGGTTCATAGCTTGAGGAGTCTGCTGAGGCCATTTTTGTCTCTTAAATGTTCAGGCCAGCTCAGTGATGCAGTGTGCCTTCTAACTGTGGTCTTAACACTTCTAGAAGATGTCAGCTTGCGTAAGGCTGCCCTAGATGAGGTCACCTTGTATTCAATAGGTGGCTTTGTTGTGTGTGCTCATTGCTTGGCTTTTTAAAGCTTGGAGACTCACAGCAGAATCTGCGCACAGACGTCATGGGCAAGTGTTTTATATGAGGGGGGTATAAAAACTGTCTGCAGCCAGTTTCACAGTGTGTTCACACTGTCACAGTGTTCATACTCTTTGCAGCCAAGGTGGATGGTTCCTTCACATGGAAAGATGATCATTAGATGCTGCTTTCATCAAGAGAAACATGCATGTTTGGAACGGAGCATCTACAATGGAGAAAATGTCATTATTGGTATCATAGGAGAAGATTGTTTTGTTTTATAAAACTAAAGTCAACCTGTCGAAATGTAAAGAATGTTACCTGTTTTACATACACCAGTTTGGTAAGCTGGCTACATATCCAACACTGTCACTGCTCCTCTCCGATTATTCTTACTTTAGGAAAACTTTATGGCCGTGGGTCAACAGATGACAAAGGTCCTGTGCTTGCCTGGCTGAATGCCCTGGAAGCTTATCAAAAAACAAATCAGGTAGAATTCTTTTACATTTGCTTTGCTAGTAAAAGATTAAACGCTTGCCCTTTGTATTAAACCACAGTAGTTTAATAGTTTACAGTTATCAGTAAAGATAAAAATTGAACCTGCTGAATTTGAAATTAAATCAGGGCGTGGGAGAGAGCACACCTACATAGTTGGCTGTTTGCTGGTTTTGATGCTTGGCTGTAATGCTTTGCTCTTTACCCAAGACATTCTGCTCCCTAGAGCTGTAACTGGGCACGCTCTTCAGGCTACTTGCATAGCTTGGACTTTTTGGTTCTTTCCTAGACTTAATTGTTACTTACGAAGTGTCAAGCATTTCCTTGGTGCTGTACAAAGATAAATAAGTGAGGCAGGCTTTATCCTCAGGCTTAATATCCAAATGCAAGACACAGGAGGACAAAGTCTGGAGAAGGAAGAGAAGAAGGCAGTGCACTTGGTCCTAGTTGAGGCAATGGTGTTCAGCCTGGTGGAATTATTATTATTATTATTATTGCATAGTATTACTATCCCACCTTTTTTCTTCCTGTGAGGAACCTAAGGCAGAATGGCTACAAATGCCATATAATGCTAGACTATTGAAGTTCAGAGCCAGAGGAGGTGGCAGCTATCATCTAATCCCATATCTGAGCAACACAGTGTGCCAAGGGAATATTTTGCCTTTGTTTACTGTGTTGCATACCAAGAGTGTTAACCCTCAGGACCACAGGCCAAGTGCAGCTCCCAAAATGGCCTTCTAGCCTCCCCAAACAGCCCCAGTCCTTCCCCCTGATCATCCATTACTTGATAGCTCCGCTTTTGCAAAGTTGTGAAAGTCTGAAATGTCTCTCCTCGGGCTTGGTTACTAGCAGTAAATGCTTTAGGTTTTAAAAAGGCAATTGTTCTTGGCATTTTGGCCCTGCTCCTTTGGCCTTCTGCCTTGCCCAGCTCTAGAATGCATCCCCTGCGGTTAATTCTTGGACTGAAAGAAGTTCTGCACCTCTGCTGTCTACTATGCCATTTATATGAACATTGAAATGGTGAAGTGGGGATAGGGGAACATGAGCCTCACCTTCTCTGATCTCCTGCCTCCTGGTTTCACCTCCATCTCCTCAGTGGGAGAAATGCAAAGGATAAAAGTCCGCCTGTCCCACCCAACCGACCGGTGTAGATTGGAAACCCTCTTACAAGAATCATGCAGCTGAAGGGGACTGCACTGAGGGAGATGAGCTGAAGCCACTCTTGGCTGAAGGGGAGGATGAAAACACTTTCACATGATTACTGGCTTTGTTCATGTTTTAACATCTAGCAGCAGTAGTCTGGTTTGGCCCCAAGAAGTGGTGTGCGGAATAGCCTTTGCTGCTGCCCTCTTGACATAATGCTGCTTCATTTTTCTCCTTGTAGGAAATCCCGGTTAATGTCAAGTTTTGCCTGGAAGGTATGGAGGAGTCTGGCTCCGAAGGCCTTGATGAGTTAATTTTTGCACAAAAAGATGCTTTCTTCAAAGGGGTTGACTATGTTTGTATCTCTGATAACTATTGGCTGGGCAAGAAGAAGCCTTGCATCACCTATGGCCTCAGGGGCATCTGCTATTATTTCATAGAGGTAAAGAACCCAAGAGAAAATACTCTTGTGGAAGAAGCTACAACAGTTGGTGTGAGCTTTTCACTGTAGGAGTGTAGACTTGGGTATTAATTTTCATTGAAGCTGCTTTTAAGTTCCAGCATGGTGTTTGCCTGGCACAAAGAGGAGACTGCTGACGCTGACCGAATGTGAAATCTAGCATAGCTTTAGATTTATTTCTTTACTTTATAGATTTACTTATAGCATGTGGATTCTTAAAATTATTTGCCTAATGCCAAGCATGTACATCTCTAATTCCATCTGTCAGGCTTTAAGAATTATGCCCCCCTTTTATGGCTGCCTTAGGAGCAACCTTTCTTTCTGTTAGGAGCTGCATATGCCAGTAAAAGCCAAAAGTACAAAGACTACCTGTTTTCTCTCTACTCCTGTCCCCTACCTTTTCCCTTTCTTTCTTCCCACCAGTAGGCAGGGTGTTCTTACAAGAGTTTAAACTGATCACTTGCAGAGGGCTTTGAAATTTGGTTGAGGACTACATGGAATTTGGGTCAAGAACACTGGAGGTCCTAAGATTGGAGAGCACCAGTCTTGTCCTTGATTTAGTTATAATGATGATAGAAATGCACAGCTATTGTATAAGCTAAAAAGCAAGGTACATCCCTACAAAAATTGTAGGCCTGTTTTTGATGGACACAGCAGTCACCTATCAGTAACATAGCCAGCAGCTAACATGCAGGAGAAGATCATCAGAAAACTGTCTTTTGTTCTAAATTAACATTAAGTCATATGGTAAAAAGAAAATCCTTTAGTAGATAAGGGTAAAACTCTGTTGTAATACTCATTTTGAATGCTTGGGGCAGTATCCAACCAGGTGCCAAGCCCCTGTCAATTTCACTGCACCTTTGCAACGTCTCTTCTTCAAGTGAGACTCACCGCTCATGCAACCAAGTTTTGGTGCTTCTGAGAGCACCTGGGAAAGAGTAGAAATGCTTGTTTCTGCACAAGTGAAGGAATGAACGTTTCCATTCATTCCAGGACTTCCTATAGGAAGCATGACATCTCCACTGAGAATCAGTCGGTCCTGTTTGCACACTGGGATTGCTGGGAGAGTCAGCTCATGCAGCGACCCTTTTGCATCCTGCCCCACATTCTTTGCAAGGTCAAATTCATTTTTGTAGGGCTTTGAACATAGTCGATCTTGTAGAAAAATAGTAGATCTTGCTGAAACAGAAATGCCATTAAATAATTTGTGAGTACGTGTAAATATTGTGAACTGAAGCATTTGCTAAATGGCTCAACTCTGCCATTGACAGTGGTGCAATGATTCACTTCTTGGTGACATGAATGGCTACTCAGAAACTCTGAGAGCGGGAAATCATCGAATGTGTACGACAGCCTCAGAGAGTGTTTGTTTGCTTTACTATACAGGTGGAATGCAGTGACAAAGACCTTCACTCTGGCGTATATGGTGGCTCAGTGCATGAAGCTATGACAGACCTCATTGCTTTGATGGGTAAGAACTTTACTTTCCTAGCTCTGCAGTTAAACAGAATTGGGAATACTCTAGAAACTGCAGGTGAAATAGTGACATGTTCATAGCTCAAAGACCTTTTCATTGAAAAACCACTCCAGACCCACCCTAAAAGCTTTAATAGTGTCAAGGTTCACAACCGATGGACTAGGCAGAGTCTTAATGAGAGAGCAAAGATCTATTTGTAAGGCAAAGGTTAACGTAACTATGTGCATCTAGACGGTATCTTCAAGGCACAATCACAAGTTTCTTCTTGGCTGTGTGAATATTGCTTCTGCTTCTGCTGAAGCGATAAGTTGAATCCTCCCTGTCTGACCTCTGGATGCTACTCCAGATGATGACAAAACAAGATGCTCACACAACACAATAGCGATCAGTCACGGTGAGTTGTCACGCTGTGTGAATCCAGCACAATTTTTGCAGGGTAGCTTATATTTTGCAAACGAGCCTCCAAAAGAATCCATGTTTTAGAGTAGGTGATACCCATGGGGGCTTTTTCTGCTGTCCAAACCTGACAGTCATTTTATTGTAGGTTGCCAAGGAATGGCTCGTGAGCGGCCTGGCAGAGCAGCAAAGCTCCATGATGCTCCTTGCAATTTCAATCATGTTGCCACAACCCCACTTCATCCCTTCTCAGCCCTCCTGACCCGTGTCCTTGCAGCAACAAATGTCAAGATGCTAGCAAGAGAGAGAGGTGACAAGCAGGAAGTGAGGGAAGGTGCTTTGCAAGCAGATGGCCTTCCTTCAGTGTAAAGGAAAGCAGCCTTTAAAAAGGCAAGCTCTGAAATGGAGGGTGAAATTGACTAGGATGGTATCAAGAGAGGGATCTCAGCATGCTGAGCTAAATATTCAGGAGGCCGTCTTGCATTCTTGTGCAGCAGTGAAATTACTGGGGGAGGGGGGAGGCTGGCAGACATGTTCCTCTGTTTGTGAGGGCCCTGAGCATTAGTGCCATTTGGCAGCCTGATGCGGAAGAGGGGGAGTTTCCATTTCCAGTGGCCTAGTTGCAAAAGGGTATTGAAAACAACAGAGTTCTTTTTCAGAGATCCCTGGGATATGTACCAGACCCAGCAGTGGAAATGTGGGGTGGAAACCAAGCCACAGCAAGCATAAACATCTGTAGGAAGTTCCCTGGGTTGTTCGACAAAAGAACAAGCCATTCTGTGTTACTAGCAAGGTAGCTTTGTGATGTGAGAACTGGCCCATTGGCAGCGAAGTAGCCATTTCACCACAAGAGTGGATTGTTTATGGAAAAACTGGGTGGATACTTATGCAATCCCTGTGTATCAACAGGTAGCTTAAGTGGCTCTGGCAAGACGCTGAGCCTTTGCAGTTACCCTTTCCTAACCATGCTGTTCTCAGGGACTGCATGTGCTTGCCTAGGTTTGTAAGAAAGCTCAGCTTTAGGGAGTAGCTGCTGATGTTTTTGTCCCCAGCTCCCCATAAGTAGCATGGGACTGGTAATGCGTCCTGCAACAGCTGATCAAATTCAAGGTAGTCTACATAGTATATTCCTACAGTACCCCTTCTTAATCCAAATGTGTTTATAGAGTCACTTGGATTGAAAAGGGATGTGCTTTGCTTCAGAACCGAAAGACATGTCAGCACATAGCAAAACTCTCAATGCCTGTTGCCTATACACTTGCAGCATGTTGTACTTTGAGGAACGGGAAGTGGTACATGTGTGTTTTATTTGGTTCAGCATTGGAGGGAGCCAGCTTTGTGTCTAGCTTTTAAACTCGGAGGGGCAACTCAGAATTGCTAGCATACTATTGATGTCACAACTGGAGAAATTAAGAATATATCCAGTATATTAGGCAGGCAGTGGAGCGCTCAGAGGATTGTTGGCACCGTGTTCAGTCTGGGTTAACCACAACGATCCCACTGTGTAAACTGGCTGCGAGACAGTTAGCAGGTAGCCAAGGAAAACATCACTGCTGGAGCTGTTTGTACTGGAGGTTTGTTTGTTCGTATGTTTTTAAAGTTGCTGATATTCTTAAAACCTCCTGAGAAGCAGGATATTGGCTCTGCTTCTCTCGGCACTTCAGGAGTAGCAATTCTTCACTTTTTGCTGCCTTCCCTGGGCTGCCATTTTAATACAACTGATAATGGTGTAACACCAACGCAGGAGGTTTGTGCATAGCACTACTTGGATTGTGTGATTTCTGGTTTCTTTGCCTGTCTCTACTATTACATGCCTTTTTTTCCCTTGCAGGTTCCTTAGTGGATAAGAAAGGGAAAATCCTCATCCCTGGCATTTATGATTCAGTGGCTCCTGTCACAAGTGAGGAGCATCAACTCTATGACAAAATTGATTTTGATATGGGGGAGTATGCGAAGGATGTGGGAACCACCCGATTGCTGCACGGTACCAAGGTATTCATTTTATATGATAGCTGATGTAGTGTTCCAGGACTCACTGGTGTTCAAAAAATCATGAAATATCCAGTAGTTCAAGGGAAAATAGCATTTTTAAAAATAGTTCCCTCCCTCCCAGGACTTTTTTTCTGTGCAATTTGGTTATTCATCACAAACTTACTTGGAAGAAAGTCCTATAGTAATCACTGAGGCTGTTAAGCACTGTTAAGTTTTGATTCTTTTGTGTCCATCGCCAAAGCAGAGTGGAAACTTTTGGTTTGGCCTTTGGAGAAAACACCTGAGCTTTTGCAAGTTTTGCTATGTAGTTTGCGATATCATTGACTAATCACAACAACCAATTTCAGTGTAAGTAAATGGTGCTGAAATGCTAATTGCTATTTCAAGTCAGCTCTAGCAGATGGTAGTTGCCATATTTGTGCCAAAGAACAAGGGGGTACAAAGTAGGGCAAATGATTCTCATTAATACAGATTGATGGAGGGTGATCAGGTTTCCGTGCTTGAGTGGTTACATGCTCCTCCACTGCCAGACTTGACCTGATAAATTTATAGATTTTTCTACACATCATTCTGGCTGTAGGATGAAGACTTGTGACTGACTATGGAATGCAATAAGCGCTCCTCTTTTTGTCCCTTTTATAGAAAGATATACTGATGCATAGGTGGCGATACCCATCCTTATCCCTCCATGGAATAGAAGGCGCTTTTTCTGGCTCGGGTGCTAAAACTGTGATTCCCCGGAAAGTGATTGGCAAATTTTCAATCCGGCTGGTACCAGACATGATTCCTGAAGTAGTGACAAAGCAGGTATGTGGCAGAGGCAAGAAGGCAGTTCAAAGAACTGGCCATCACTTGCAGTGTTAGTGTCTTGGGTCAGCCTAAGACAGGTGGCTGCGTGCCTTGCATGACCTTTAAAAAAGCAACAGGAGGAGAAAGGAAATAGAAAGAAGCAGAAATGAGTAATATATAGCATAAAAAATAAAGATGGGTTCTGGTAGCAGATTTGCATTACCGATTGGCTATGGGAACATAAGAAGCTGCCTTTCAAAAGGTCAGGCTATTTGTCTGTCTAACCCGGTATTTTCTGCTCTTAGGTGGCAGGAGATTTCCTGGGTCTAGGGGGAAAGGTGGGGGGGGGTCCTTCACCTCACCTGCTCCCTGATCCATCAACAGATAGCATGAAGGTGTTGGTACAATCTTAGTGGCAGTTATCCTTCTCACATAATTGCTCTCTAGTGGCTACAGTTCAAATGAGAAACATCTAATATGGCCACTGGCTTACCATTATTTCTTGTCTTGCTACTAACCATTTGAGCCTAATCACCATTTCATCTGTGCACCAATGTAATGGTAGTGCAGCTGCTTAGAAGTGGCTTGAGATTTTCTAGTAAGGAAACTGATGCATAATCTCTTTAAGAGACTCTTGAAAGTTATTTATTTCTCTTAACACACTATAGAATGGTCATCCTCAGTACTCCAGTATTTTTATTTGCAGTTGTTTGGGGTTTGTTTGTTTTTTGGTAGGGCAGAATTCATTTTGATTTATGTATTTATTTATGTAACAATGCTGTTAGAACAATTGTGCTGCTGCATTCTTGACCTGGAAAATAAAACTATGGAAAATTGGCTATGTCAATCAGGCAAAATGTCCATGAGATGAAGGAGCATCTATTAAATACCTGAATTGGTGGGTAGAAGGGAGAGATGGAATGGCCCTGCTCTGTGATATGAGAACTCCCATCCGATATTGCTGCCAGTTTTAAGTGGCTTCTGTAGGCTTGATGTGAGCAAGGATTAAAAAATCATCATTGCTATGCATATAATTGTTTCTGATCAATTGTTATAAAGAAATAATTGTTTCTTGCACTGTGTCGTTCCTCTGTGATAGTGGACTACATGCCTAATTTGCAGCTGAAACATTGTAGACACCCAATTCCAAGTTTTCTCCTGCACTAAAAAGGGTTGAGCTATATGATGTGGTAGGCCAAAGAAGGAATAAAACTCACATTTTGACCTAGATATTGATTCATGTATAAATAATAAGATATTCGTGTTCTAGCTCTGTCTTTTCCTTAATGTATTAACTAATTGGAGGTGGTTGTTGTTGAAGGTTCAAGATTACTTGTCCAGTAAGTTTGCCGAGCTGCACAGTCCCAATAAGTTTAAAGTCTACCTAGGCCACGGTGGCAAACCTTGGGTGTCAGATTTCAATCATCCTCACTACATGGCTGGCAGAAGAGCCATGAAAACAGGTCAGTAAGTCTCACATTCTCTGCTTGCGATCATGATTAGTAAGGACCAAGAAGAAGAGGCCTACTCCATTCAAATGCACTAGCAAACACTGTTCTTAGAGTGAAATGGGTATCTCTTGTTATCAGAAGTGATCTTATCACACTTGAAAGACCAGGCTTGCCAGAAGTGATCTTATGTACCCAGCTCTGCTGAGGATAAAACAGCAGCTTTTCGCACAAAGCTAAAATTGGTTGTATGCATTCATGGACATTTACTTGAGGAGCGTTCGCCAGAGGAGAGAATGGGACGGATAGGTACTGTGCTGAACAATTGCCAGTCCACTTGCTGCTTTGAAAGTGTTGGTTGATGCATGGCATCGAAAGAGAGTATCATGTTGACTTTTCCCTTCCTCTTCCCCTAGTATTTGGTGTGGAGCCAGACTTGACAAGAGAGGGAGGAAGCATTCCCGTCACCTTGACCTTCCAAGAAGCAACAGGCAAGAACGTGATGCTCCTGCCTGTTGGATCTGCAGATGATGGGGCCCACTCTCAGAATGAGAAACTCAACAGGTAAGCAGAGCTGACAGTTGGCAGGGACGGAACTACCGCTTTGCACTCTTTCTCCCATCCCCTTTCTTCATTTCCTTCTTGATTACAATCTTCTTCCCTCCACCAGAACATTCCTTGCAGGACAAGAAAATAAATAGTCACCAGGATACGGTCCTGTTCCAAGGAGTGTCCCTGCCCTCTTGTTACCTTTCTGAAATGCAGCATGAAATTAGGAGCAGAAGGAGCAAAAGCTTTGCCATCCCTCTCCAACCCAGAGCCTGAGAGAAGAGGTGGGGGCAGACCGGCTTTCTCTGTGGCTCCACTTGCCCTGTTGTTGGATCTCCATCTGCCAAGCAGGTGCAGAAACACCACTCTGCCAGCTTACTCAGCTCTGAGCTGCAGGGGACTGACACATTTTGATCTGTGCCTAATAAGCATATGGGACAGAAGGCCCCTTTTGTGAAGTGTTCCTTCCTGATGGGGACAAGTGGGCAAGAATGCGCCTGCTCCGTGTTGCTGCCCGCAGGCGTGGAAATGCCATCGTGGACATACTCCATGGGATGGGTGAATCTGGACAAGGGCTGAAGTTCCAGATCAGGCTGGGCTGAGTGGGATTAAGTTATTCTCTGTTTCTCTCATTAATACTGGATGCTTCCTTCCCAGGTACAACTATATTCAAGGTGTCAAACTGTTGGGTGCATACCTCCACGAAGTTGCTCAGCTGAAGAACTGAACCTGAATCAATTTTGTGAATGGAGTTATTTTGTGATCAGAAAGTTCTTCAAAGTACTTGTGGACAACCTTAAAAACTGCACTATTTTTGTTCCCTCTTCTCCTTTCCAACTAACTGTTGTTGAGACACCTAATGAAAAAGATCCAGACCTTTTATGGAGCACTTTATGTAAAGGAACCTCTTTTTGAAGAAAACAAAAACAGAACAACTAGTCTGCACAGTTGCAAGCACTCCCACGGGATGTAACTTCCTAGTAAACCTGCCCACTGTTCCATACAAGATGGGGGAAGCCAGGGGGAGGAGTCTACCATGTTTCCATGATGTGGTGTGCATTTCTAGCAGCTGTTTCTGCCTATGCATCTGCTTCTTTAAGAGTCTGCCATTTCTCTCATTACATATTATGTAACCAGAATCTGAGGCAAATACCCATTGGAAGAAACTGTAATTGTCCCGGGTCAGACAAGTCAACCTTGGAAGGTTCCATATCAAGGTCAAGTGGGGTAGGATTTGGGGTTGGTAAAAGCACATGAACCCTCCTTTTCCCTAGGGGTCTTGCTGTGTCTCTTCAAACACCCGTGCCTGTTAGCATTCCCTGCACAATTTGGCAACATTAAATATTCCTGGTTATCAGTAACAAATTGGTATTTTTCTAAAGCATTCTTTTTGCTCCACGAGGAATGCTGCTAAATAAAAATAGCCCTGGCTTTATTGATGCAGTGGTGGTTTTTACTAAAGGAACAAGACTTGAGGTGATGGGTGGCTGGTAGGATCACAGCAGCTGATGAGGGCATTCCCACCCACCTCAGGAGGGAAAGACTCCACCTCTTTATTTCGGAAGAGATGCAGTAATTATGTTAAGACAATGGGTTGCTGTGAAAGGAATGAGGAACACCAAGCCCTGGACTTGCATGTATCTCTCTTCCATCTTGTTTGCACAGCTGCAAAGAAGTCAAAAATGTTCCCTTCCATTTTCAAAAACCTGCAGAACTCTGTAAACTCTGGTTAATTTTAACTATGGTGTCTTGATCAAAACCAGTTTCATAATGCATGGTTTGAAGCTGGCTTGTTTTGAACAAATCACAGTTTTACTAAATTCAGATGAAGTGACAAGCTGGTTGGCCACTCTGTGAGCGGAATGCTGTAATAGATTGGATCCTTGCTCTGGTTCCGCATGGCTATTCTTAAGCTCTTGGTAAGCAAAAACAAGTGCTCAGGCTCTTTGTGGCCACTGTGTAGAAGGGATCACATGAACCCAAGTTTTGCGGTGGTTCACATACAGTATGGCTGATTTTGAGAAGATTCCTCATTTTGGCATGGTACCATACTGGGCTATGTTGATTTGCTTTGTGAATGCTAATACTGGGAGGATGAGATTAAGGTTTCTCAAAGATAACAGAAAGTTAAGCCAACTTAATGTTAAGGCAAACTAAGTTTTGTATTTCAGAAAGCAGGCTTGTAGAGGATAGAGGAAATGGTCTCAAAGTAGTTCTCCTTTAAATGGAAAGTCTCCCTTGCATGAGTAGAGTATAATTCAGGAAAATCAGTCAACATACATTCCTGTTTAGACATCATGATATGCCAATATGGATTAATTTATCTGCAGGACTCGCTGGCTGACATTTTTAAAATGCAAGCTTTGTTTTTAGGGTTACAGGCAGTTTATTAATCATGCCAACATCCTGGCTAGGTTTGTACAAAACAACAGGTTGCAGCACCTCACCCCTCTTCCACTACTGCTGCTGACATTTTTAACTTGTCAAGCCCCTTGATAAGCCACACTGGGCTGATCAGCCTACAGCGTGTCACGACACATGAGCCAAATTGTCCACCTAGCTCAATACTCTCTGCAGTGGCTCTGCGGAGTTTCAGACAGGAGTGTTTTCCCACCTTGCCTAGAAATGGAGGTCGAGACCTTTTTTGCATCTACTCCGTCAGTGAGCTCTAGCCCTGTTCCAAAGCAAATATGCCATCAGCACCATATGACATTCTCCCAAAGGAATCTGGACTTGGGTAATCTGACACTTCTCACCACTGGGGGGGAGCAACAATATTATGCTGTAGTCTAGGAAGCTTCCAAAGAAAATGTTCTAGGAAGCATCTTCTGCTGTAGTCTAGGAAGCTTCCAAAGAAAATGTTCTAGGAAGCATCTGCTGCTGCTCGGGAGCTACCCATGAGGCCTGATTCTTTATATGCTATGCGCAGTTCATTACAGACCAGAGCATTCATGTCTCTTACGTATGTCTGTGGCAGGGGAATGCCATGTGTTGAATGCATACCTTTGGAGACGTCATGAATTAGTACTCCTAAGAACATTTAGGGTACCTTGGGGGATTAGATACAGGAAGAATATGAGAGGACACTCCTGCTGTTTTTATTTATTACAATAGTTATCCTGGCTCTTCAGTCATATGATTCATACTGGGCAGCAGCCCAGTTACTAAGATGAGACACAGGATTCAGCATAGGAGAGATGTAAAACTTAGAGAGCAAGTGTATGGTCCCTGGAAAGCATTCCAGGGGATATAGGATTTCTTGGATTGCCTCTAGCTGTAGACATTGCTGTGACTAGGAAGAAGGATTATATAATCTGATTTCTCCCCACTCGGCCATTACAAACAGAACCACAATGTCTGTTTTCTGAGATTTCAGAAGTAGCCTCAGTGAGGTCAAAATGGGACATTTTGGGTGGGAGGAGAGAAGAAAGACACAGGTATGAAAGAATGTTTAGCTTTCCCAGGCATGCCCTCATAGTTCCTCTAGAAAGGCTAAAGGACCCGGGAGAGGGGGGGATCAGAAAGCAAAGGAACACCTGTAACGTCTCCCACTTTATTATAGTAGTGCAGAAGAGCATAAGATGCTTGGAAACTCCTGAAGATGCAGCTTTCCACTCACCAGGTGTCGGCCAAATAGTCTCATGCCCTTAATGGTTAAAGAAATCCTAGTCTGGAGCTACAGGGACATCAAGGTTAGCCCTACACATGCTTTGCTGAGTCAAGCATTCCACCACTCTTGTCACAAAAGAAAAACTTCTTTTGCAGTCACCACTACAGCTCACATGGCAGAAAGAAAATTGAAGGAGGTCTCTAAAGGTTAACGTTCAACCACATGAAGTTGTTGAGGGTTAAAGATCTCCAAGAAAAAACATTTAACTTTGAGCATTTGTGAAGGCTCTGGAGATGGAAACTAGTGGCTTAAACCGTGCTTGGAAACAACTTAGTTTCAAGATTGGTGACGTGTTTTATACTAGGGCATGTGGTCCTAGTAAGTAATGTCCACTGATACTGGGCCTGCTGACATTTGCAAGCAGTACAGAAGGAAGGACCCAGATGGAATGCAACCAAAGTGTGGATAACTACTTATCTTCTAAGATTGGTTCCAGCTGATACATCAAAGCTTAGTGTAAGGTGCATTGAGCCAGAAAACTTACTTGGGCCTCTGTTGAAGCATCATGACTTTAGGAGCTGTATGTACTGGATGCAACATGCATGAGGTTCCAATTCGGGCCTTTATAATTCATGGTCTTTTTCAAAGTAACATTCCTTTGGTAATCTTACTAATGTCTAGAGTCTCAGACAGCAAATGCAACAGTGAACTATAAATAAACTGGATTCAAACTAATATTGTGTCAAGCCAATTTCTATGTAGGTCCTTTTGGAAGTAGAGAATGAGTAGAGAAATTTGCTAACTATCAAAAAAAATCTTCATGGTTGCTCTCATGATACATGTACTTAAAAATATAAAATATAATAAAATTGTGTCATAAATATGGTCAACTGTTAAAAAAGAATTGCTTTTCAGCCCAAAGAACTCATAGCTTAAAAAAAATACAAGGACTTCCTTAGATTGTGCATAAAATGTATGATGATAGAACTTACAAATGGTTTGCTTATTCCTAGTGACCTGCTTGATTGTGCTGTTTTGTGTTGTTAGCACATCGTGTCAATTGGATATGCAAATATGAGCTTTCTAGTTTGCTTATTGATTTCAGTGTTTTGCATAACCTGTGACATGTGGTAAGCAGCTTAAAATGTTTGCCGTGGCCACCTTCCATTCTACCTGTTTTTAGATTTCATTTATGAAGATCACACCTTCTCATCACCTTCATCCTTCCAGAACCAAGTGCCCTCTGCATGTGCTGGCTGGAAATTACAGTCCAACATGTCTGATGGGCACCAAATTTGGGAAGGCTGTCATGCCCTGAATACCAAAGACAATGGAATGCACGTAAAACAACACCTCCATAATGATCACTGCTTAATTCTATGCTTTCATGTCCATTCGTAAATGCACCTTGAACATCGGTGTCCTAGTCTCAATTATTTGTAGTTAAGCTCCCATTCTAGGACTATGAAACAGGTCAAAGAAACCACTCAACTTTTGGGATGCCAGCTTCTTGTTTTTGCTGGTTTCTAGCCATTCACAACAGCATCTGCACAGAACAAACAACAAAGGGGGTTTGAACTGGTGATGGGATGAAGGATGGAGCTACAAATATCTGACACTCACCTATTTGAAGGCTTGAACCCCAGTGCTTGGAATGTTGGACATTTTCCTTGCAAAATAAGAATAGAGGAGTCTTGTCTTTGTTGTCTTGTCACCACATGATACTATGAATGTTAATAGTCAACAGAGAAAAGGATAAAAGGGTGCATTTACAAGAAGACTTAGCTGAAAACTGAAAGAAGAGCAGCAAGGACAGGAGCATGGATTAGCATTGCTTTTGCTATTGAAAAAGAAAGGAGACGCCCCTTTGCCATCAGAACTTTTATTATGGTAAGCCTTTTTAAAAACTGCATTCCTCAGTTTGGATATAGATCAATCACCTGTAAAATTTAAGAGTCCACAGAGACTAATTACCCTGAACTTTTACTTCTTCAAGCTAGCTCAGGTCACCTGTGTCATCGGTTAATTCATAAGGGAATTTTTTATTCAGGCATCAAATGCAGATGCACAATAGATTGGGCATCTCTCCAAAGCCTTGGAGAGATTGGTTTCCATATATTCTTCTCTACATCTGTACATGCTACATATAGAAAAATCTTCCTCGGGGCTTGGCAGGTTGCTACAACCTATCGGTGTTCCCCAAGCATTTCTTTAATCCAAACCTGGATTTTATGAGACTGTCTACCTGGGTACAGTTTACCCATCTGTATGAATAAAATCCTTTGAAAGTCTACCTGCTATTTAAAATGTTCATGATTTAAAATGAACTGTAATACTGCAGGAAGCATATGCTTTTTGAACAGCTGTGAACAATGCTGGTCAGACTTTCTTAGATGTGGCTTTGATTAAGTTGTGATTATGGGTCAGTTCTAAACCTTATTGCTTTTATAATCTGGCATACTACTCACTTAAACTGGACTTTATTATTTCAAAAATAGAGGAGCAACCATTGTCTCCTTTTCCCAGCAGGAGGATTGGGGATACAACATGGCACCCCTTTATTAACTGGTAAGTCCTAATTTGAATGCCCACAGCAGCAGTAGACAACTAGTACCTTCTAGATGCTTTGGACCATTTCCCATAATGCTTGACCATTGGCCATGTTGGCTGTGTTGTTATCCAAAATATATAGAGGGCACTAGATTGCTGATCCTGCATTAAAGCACATCCCTCTTTCCATTGTAAGTCTGTCCCCAGATGTAACTCCATGACTTGAATATCAGTTACCCCCACCCCTTCTTGCCTGATGAAGAGTTCTGGAGAACCTGAAGGATTGCACAGTATTCTGCAGCTTTTAAGGCAGTTTAATAACAAGGACTATCCCAATACAGAATTCATCATTTTTCTCTTGGCCAACATGAGCAGGCATCTTGTCACTGCCAATCGATTATCTAATACCTGTTTTAAGATGTTTCTTTCAACGTGGATGCAGACCAGAGAAATGGTGCTACACTCCCTGGTGTGAGCCAAGGTATGCATATAAAAGCACAACATCACTATGAGATGGGATGGCAATCATGCAATGAATGGACTTGTGAAGGGAGCTCAGAATCAAATCTATCTCCAGAGGAAAGAATAATAGGCAGACCGCAGGCTCCTGGACACCTAGCATCCAGCCCCAAGTGATGATCCTCTTCCTTTGCTGGGGCTTTTTTGCTGTATTTTAACAGCTATTTTGAATTATTTTTCAATTCATTTTAATGATGTTTTTATGGTATTTGTATTGTATTTATTGTTTTGTTTTATACATTGTTGTAAACAGTCCAGAGAGCATCAGCTGATGGGTGGCACATAAATAAATAAATAAAATTTACATTCTGCCCTTTTTAAATGGAATTTGAAATGACTTGCATAATATTCCTGCTGCTGCTCTCAATTTTATCCCTGCAACAACAATCCTGTGAGGCAAGGTGGACTGTGTGTGTGACTGGCCCAAAGTCACCCAGTTGACTGCATGGCTGAGTGGGGACCAGAACCCAGATCGCCTGAGTCCCAGTCTGGCCCTCTTAACCACTACACCACACTGGCTCACCATTTACATATTATTTCTTGAAGCAGGACCTTCTTAACCGGTTGCGAAGCAAATGGTAATATGAATGCTAATAGCAATTGAAAACAAAGATTTATTTATTTAGGAAGTTTCTATGCTGCCCCATTCGTTGAAGTATTATTCGTTCTTAAATGCCTAGAATGATTATTTTGCTCAATATACTCTCTGCATGAGGATGTTTGCTTCCGTGGCTGGATCTGTCTTACTAAACTGGGTTGTTTCATTTGCTTTTTTGTAGAATCAAAAGCTGAGAGCACTATTGTCAGTCAAGTTCAGGCTGCAATCCTGTGTTTGTTTACTCGGGAGTAAGTCATCCCCACTGCAGTGCAGGGAGATGCTGTGTTTGACCTCCACTTGTTGGGCCCCCAACTCCCATTAGCCCCAATCACCAGGGCCCATGGTCAGGGATGCTAGCAATTGTAATCCAGCGACATTTGGAGGGCTACCTGTTCCCCATCCTTCATGCAGACAGTCCCGGGTTCAAGCCCCAGCTCCTCTAGCCAAAAACTAAGAATTTATTGAGAAGGACGCCTAATTTGACCGACTCTAAAACAACCGCCCATATAGTTCGACAGGGTAACTGTAAAAGCGGACAGCCTCCTCAGAAGTAAGTCCCATTGCGTTCCGTAGAGTTTACCTCCACATCAGCTAGTGTAAAATTGAGTTCTGGCTGTTCCGACACCTCAGCCAGGAGAAACCACATGTATTTGGAGACTACACCTCCCAGCTGGCCCAATCAGCTTGGCCAAGGACCAAGAAAGCTGGGGGTTGAAGTCCAGAACATCCGGAGACGCCTCACGTTCGCCAGAAGGGTGTTGCTGCTGAAGCCGGAGCTATCCCTTACGAAGGGATCCCGTCTGTCTTGGCCCTTCCCTGCTGGCTCCTTGGGACTCCTCCTCCTGCTGCGAGAGGTTCATAAAGCTGCCTCCAGCCAGGTGGCAGCAATGCCAGCGAGGCAAGCAGCGAGTCTTGGCGGTCATCCGCAGCCCGAGGTGGGCGCGCACAACGCGCAAAGGGGACGCGCCAGCGAGCCAGCCGGGAGGCTCCGCAAGACGGACGGGTGTTAGCTTGGCACGGGGAATCTTGAGCAGGTGGGCGCCCAGAACCACGCCCTGTAGAGCCCCGCAAGCTTCTTGTAAGTAGTCCATCCCCAGGTAGCTTCTCGCTCGGCTCTGCTGCCGCAGCCTCGCTTTGGCAGCGCGGAGCAGCGAGGTCATGCCTCCCAGTTCAGAACCGTCACCTGCCGCGCGCGTTTGCAAAGGGTCAGCCTGGCACTGACCCGCGCCCTCCCACGCCCGCTTTTCTTCCATCTGTGCAGCTTTTGTGCCCAAACTAAAGTCCAAGTCAACAGCCAAGAGAAGGGAACACACACATGAAAAGACCTCCCTTCTTCCTGATGGGCAGATTCCCCCTGGGTTTCCACCCTTCTCGGTTCAGCAAAATTAGCAGCAAAGGGCTAGTTTTAGGAATTAAATATAGCAGTCCGGAGCTCCAAAATGGTTCAGTCTTTTAAACGGAGGTTGCCTTTGAATGTGACGTTTCACTGGATGGATGGTTTTCTTGAAAAGAGGAAACTCAGAAAGGAAGAAACTTCTGTGGTGTGGTATGTTACGGTTTTTATGGTTTATGAGACAATAACAACCAGGGTCTTCAGGCCTTCTGCCTTGCCAAACACTCGTTCTCTTCATGTCACCAGGTATAATCAAGGGAAATCCTAAATAAGAGAGGGAGACAGATATACATCTCAGAAGGTGCCAAGTTCAGCCCCTGGCACTAGGAAAGGATCTGAGGGCAGGTGATTAAAACTATCTGCTGGAGATTCTGCAGAGCTGTTGCCAGTCAAGCAACCTCAGCCTCAGTGTACTGCAGTTAGGTAGCAGCTGACTCTAGATTTAATAGACTTGCAGGGGCCCTGTTTGTCAGTTCGAAAAGTGGTAAGACTGCCCAGCTTCCTTTCTCCTCTGCTCCTTGCATTGAGTGGGACCCTTGGAATTCTGCCCTGGAGTCCTCCACTACTGGGAAGCCTAAGGCAGCTTCCTATGTACATAAGACTCACCTCATATTTCCTTAAATTGAATCTTGTTCTGTCTGTTCCATTTAATATGTTCCTTTCTATTATTTCCGGAGTTAATCCCCTTGCAGAGTGCAGTTGGAGCAGGATCTAGAACCTGGGTAGAGGTTTGGGAGGGTAGCAATGAACTAGAAAAGATCATGAAGTGTAAGGACATTTCACTGGAGACCCAAGGCAAAGATCATCCACGCTGTTGTATTCCTGACCACTATGTATGGATATGAATGTTGGACAGTGAAGAAAGCTGACAAGAACGAAATTAATGTATTTGAAACATGAAGTTGGAGGAGAACTTTGTGAATACCCTGGGCTGACCAAAACACAAACAAGTGGGTCCTAGTTGAAATCAAGCCAGAACTTTCCCTGGCAAAAAATGACAAAACTGAGGCTGCCATACTTGGCACATCATAAGAAGGCAGAACTCCCTGGAGAAGACAATCATGGCATGCAGAAGAAGAAAAAGAAGACCAAATATGAGATGGGTTGACTTCATAAAGGAAGCCACAGCCTTGAATTTGCAAGATAGGACATTTTGGGGGCTTTCATTGATAGGCCACCATAAATTGGAGTTGGCACATACCAACAGTCTATTAGATTTATATCCTGCTTTTCCACCCTCTTGTAAGGATATCAAGTAGGCTAAGATGGGACTCCATTTTTATATTTTATTCCCCCAACAACACTGTGAGGTAGGCTAGACTGACACTCAGTGACTGGCCAAAGTCTCTCAGTAAGTTACATAGTCATGTAAGGACCTAGATGTCCCAAATCCCAGACCAGCACTCTAACCATTAGATCACACTGGCCCTGGTTCCTCTCACATTACTTTTTCTGATTTTGTTCTGAAAGTGTGGAAGTGGGATCAGTTCAAGGTTTGAAGTCCAGATAGTCTACCATGGCATTTTTCTAGTGCTGAGCAACTTTCTTGGTTTATAGGAGCACAGGACCAGTCCATACCTATAAAGCCCTTAACGGCTTGGGATCTGGATACCTAAAGGAATGCCTGCTTCCAAATTTGCCCTCCCTCCCCTTGAGAGCGGCAGCAGAGGCCCTCCTCCGGGAGCCCTCTGGGAGAGACCTCAGGAGGCAAAGTACCCAGAGGAGGACTTTCTCTGAGGTGGCGCCCCATCTGTGGAATGCGCTCCCCAGAGAGGTCTGCCTGATGCCGTTGTTATTTGTTTTTCAGTGCCAGGCTAAGACCTTTTTACTTAAACAATATTTTAACAACTCTTAATATCTACAGGTTTTAATTTTGCAGCCAGGGTGATTCTGGGGTTTTTAATTGTATTATTTTACTATGTATTATGTTTGTTTATTTTATGTGAGCCGTTCCGAAGCTATAAGCGATGGGATGGCATACAAAAATTCTAAATAATTAAATAAATACCAGCACTGAGTATTGACTTCAGCAGCAGCTAAGCCTAAATGATAGATAAACACCTTGTGTGATCTGTATTTCATAGCATTGCTTATCATGCTGCTGTATGAACTTGACCTCTTGTGGTCATGGCCTTAGTTTGACAAAAGCTCCAGCTGACCTCTGATTGGTGAAAACCAGCTGCTTGATAGGAATCCAGAGAGTAAAAGTCACTGGATCTGCACAAACAGTTGCAAGATTGCCCTCAGTTAAATATTTTTACTGTGGCACAACAATACGAGCTGGCACTTGTTTGTTAAGTAAGTATTCACCAATCCCTGAGTCAATATTCAGTAGAAGCACCTTGGGCAGCAATCCTAGTGGTTGTCAGGGTCTAAGGCAGCTTCAGGGTTCCCTCTAGTGGCCAGGGACCAGAATAGAAGCTCCTGGTAGTTGTAGGATTACTGCCCCAATCCACTGCAGCTGCCAGAGCTCTCACAAGCTCCACCTGGGAGCCCTGGGAGAATAGCTGTATAAGAACTGGCTCTCCTCTCTGGAAGCTGTCTTGGCAATGAGGGTCTTCAGACTTGCTGCAGTGGTCTCTTTTTGTTGTGACCTGAATGCTGGAGTTCTGTTCCTCAACCCAGCCTGGTTTCCTGGCTCCAACTCTCACATGCCTACACCTGTCTGCATTCTCTCCTTGGCTTCCTGCTTGCTTGACTATGTTTTTTTCCTTGTTCTTCTGCTCTTGGCACTGACCTTGGACTGTTGATTATGATTTGGGTTAGACTTTGAATTCTAGCCTGGTTCTCTGGGTCTTGGTGCCCATGTCAGTTAGTCAGCTGCCCACACCCTGGATGCTGGCAGTGGTAAGTTTTCTTGGTCAAGAGTCTATCAGCTCTGTATGTTTGGATCCTACCGTGTTTGTCCATTTGTCCTTGCAAAGTGGCTCCAGCTCTGTCAGGTTGGAGGGGAGCCTCAGTGAACAGCAACTTTCAAGTCTTGTCACAGATGCCCAACCAGCTTGAGGTCTGGACTTTGACTGGGCCAAACTAAGATATTCAGATAGTGTTACTCTGGCTGTGCGCTTAGGGTCATTGCCTTGCTAGAAGGTTTCCCTGTATTTGGCTCCATCTATCTGACCAGTTTCCTAATCACAGCTGAGGAAAAGCATTTCTAGAACATGCTATTACCGCCATGTTTCACTGGGGGAGGGTTGTAGGCATTGAGACTGGTTCTCCCAAACTCGATTATTCCAAGGTGAATCTACCAGACTCAAAATCTGAACTAGAAGAGGCAGGTTCAGAATCCTTAATTGAATTTCCAGAATCAATGAGCTGTGAGATATGTCAAGTGGTTGGTTGGTAACAACTACTCTGGTTTGGGGAAGACACTGTGGAACAGGGGATCAGAGCGGGAGAGGCGCTGCTTAATCAGACCAGTGGTTCAATGCCAGATCAGTCAAGTAGGCCAATAAAATAACATCTCATGTTCCTGCTGTCTGGCTCCCAAACAGCACTAAACTCCCTAAGGAGCCAACTCAATTTGGTGAAGGAGGGGAATTCAGTGTGGAAACAATTTCCTGCAATGAGCAGAACTAACTACACAATTAGAGGAATCATTAACTTGATAGATGATTCTCATTAATAACCTTTAGATTATTCACTCTATATCACAAAGCCAGACCTGGCTGGCTAGCTTGACTTGGGAGGGAGGGCAGTCCAAAAGGAGCTGCAGTTGAGCAATATTCTTCCCATTTTGTAATAACGGATTTAACAGTGCTCTGGGGGATGTCCATTTGTGGGGATTCTTTTAAATAACCCAACCATGACTGATACTTCTGTGCAACTTCTTCCTGGAGCTCATTTGATAACAGATTATTCTTCAGGATATTTAGGTATGGTCTCTGAGCCTTTCTGGAAGCAGGCATATTTAATCCAAGATCGCATGGCACTGGAATTGCACATAGGTGGACCTAATTGGACTACTTAAAGTATGTGACTTGTAGAGGTGGTAGATTGTGCCAGAGCAGTTTTAGGTATATTTGAAAAAAGGGGCTGGATACTTATTCAGCCAAGTGCCCGTTCATTTTTGTTTGCTTTACTTTTGTGCTAAAACAAAAATACTTTGCACCTTCATGGTGTTAGGGTTCTTGTGTACTTGTATCTCTTAGGAATGTAAGAGATATCATCCTTGAAACAATTTGCATTGAAAACACTACTTGAATAGGTTCTTCATCTGCCGTCTTTTCCAGGGTAGCAATAGTTTAGTACATTTTTTCCCCAAAACAAGACGAAGTCCCTGCCCCTACTAATCCCTCTTTTTGGGTTCTTCCTTCCTTTTTCATAATTGGAATGTGAGCTGGCTCAAAGCATGATTCATCATGCAAGTGTTAATTGGCTGGCAGGATGCAAATGTTGCCATCGCCAGGTGGCTGCCAGGAAGACACTGGAGCCCAAGGCTGCAGGAAGGCTGGATCAACCCTGGCAATGCAAGAGGGGGATATACTGTAAACTGTGGCCAAGGACAGGGGGAACATATTCCCTAAGACAGGACAGGAGATTGGGGCAATAGGGGAAATGTTCCTCTTCTGGGATCGATCATGCATTGTCGCCCCATGAGATACCCGATCAGAGATCGGGGGATAAAAGAGAGAAGCCTGGAAGAGTTTGGGGTTACTTTCTATCTTTTGGAGAGGTGCCATTCTTGTTGTAGGACACCTTGCCAAAGGATGCTCTGCTGCCTTGTTTCTTTGAACTGTGACTGGTATACTATCTGTCTGTATAGCTTGACTAGGGAAGCTTTGTTGTTTTATGTCTGAGGAGGCAAACAGGGCTGGGGGTCTTGTGGGAGGGGAGGCATGACTGCCTGTAAAGTGTATCTGTGCTACTCTCCAAACCCCCTTTTCCTTCTGCCCTTTGTGTGCAACTGTGCCTTGTGTGTTTTAACTGTTTGAGTACCCTGCACCCCTATTCTTTAGCCTTTTAATAACATTTTTCCCTGATGCTTTGGTTGCTGTGTGCTGTGAATCTAGTGTCTGGCCTGGGATTTGGGCCAGGGTATGGCTGAGCAAAGTTTAAGGCCTAGAAGGCTGCAGGGAGATGGGAACTTTAGGGTGGCTGACCAATGCAAAAATGTCCTACAGTTATAGAGTAATCATTGCATGCATATATATGTACATGTATATAATTAATTATGGCAATATAGAAAAATACAGAGTGATTCCTTCTTGGGTGTGTTTTTATCTTGAGCAATTCGTGTGGCAAGAATGCACTGAAATTTTACCATGTGGATGTGCAAAGGGATATCTTAACATTGTGACATCTATTTATGGGGGTGGGGTTATTCTATACTGTGTGTATAACTGTGGTTCGGAGAGTAGTACATACAGTTCCTTCTCTCCCCTCTTCCCCAACGTTCCCTTGTGGATGCCATCCTACAAACCAGTCCATATCAAACATGTTTTGAGAATGCTCTTTAACATCTATCTTAGGTTTTATCTGCAGGTATTTCACATCTTCCTTATCATGTTGCTGTTGGATGAGGGCCACTGCTCAACTACAAATTCCTCATTGGTGGAGGAGCAGATTTTCAATTACATTGATGAGCATCAAGATGCATTTGTTAAGGTAAAACAGCACACAATGTAAATTATGCTTACCACAGGGAAAAACGTGCAGTCCAACCCTTGGCATGTTCACTTGGAAGTCCTATTTGCTACACTTAGGGTGGCTGGGAATGAGAAGCCTAGACTGAAGAACATACTGCTTTTCCTCTGTTCTGTGACAACATCAAATTATTTCATGACTCATTACTACTCATAGATAGTAGGTTAAAAGGTAAAGGTTTCTCCTTGACATTAAGTCCAGCCATGCCTGACTCTAGGGGGCAGTGCTCATCTCCGTTTCCTAGCCGAGGGAGCCAGCGTTTGTCTGCAGACAGTCTCCGTGGTCATGTGGCCGGCATGACTAAACACCAAAGTGCACGGAACGCTGTTCCCTGCCCACCGAAGTGGTACCTTTTTATCTACTTGCATTTGCATGCTTGCCAACTGCAAGGTTGGCAGGAGCTCTCACTCTGTTGTGCAGATTTGAACCGGCAACCTTTCGATCAACGAGCCCAGCAGCACATCGGTTTAAACCACTGCACCACCTGCAGTCCCAGATAGTAGGTTACTGGTGTCCAATGTATTGAAGAGTCTGATTGGTGTCATACATGCTTGACCAGTCAACTGTAGTGCAAAACTGAAGATCAAGCCAGACATGGCAAAGGCAATTGCTTTTGTTCTTCATGTAATGGATGACATAAGAAATAGCAATTCAGGGTTTGATGCAGATTCAGTCTTTCTTAAGTTAATGATGAATAAGGCCACAATCCTTTGCATGTTTAGGCAGAAGAAAGTGTTCCAGCTCCAAGCATTTCCCAGCCAGCATAGCTAGGAGTTGGAGCACGTCCTTCTGCCTAACCACACAAAGGATTGTGCCCTCAGTTAAGTCTGAATCCAGCAGGTCTGCTCCAGATATGACTGAGTCTCAGATCCAGTATTGTATTGGGCGGCATATAAAAGCTTCAAATAAATAAACAGATCCTAAGTCAGGGCTAAAGAACATATACTCCCTCGCCACACGTTCTAGACGGCATTGGCTAGGCTGAGCAGGGTTGGGACTACATATTGCCCCCCCCCCCCGCCAATCTTAATTTGTATGACAGAAGGTACACACTAACAAACACAGCTGTCCTTGCTTTAGATCTAATATCACTGCTTCAGGAACTTTTCTTTTAGCCTACATCCAGCCCTGAAAGTGAACTCGGCTGGGGGAAAAAAGTACTCGTTGCATCTGAGAGCATTTTGAGGTAAGGCAGGTAAGACGTCACTCACAGTATCACACAAACCTTTTGTGGCAAGCATTACCTGTTCCATACAGTCAGCTCAATATTAGTCACAAAGGGGTAGTAATATGACTAAGGAAGTATAAGTGCCTCTGAATTTAGCCCTCTTAGTTAAGTTAATGGTACTTGCATAATTCATTGCACAGGTGGAGTTCCTGAAAAATCAGCCTAAAGTTATCTCACAGTACAGCATGAATGCAATTACCCCAAACAAAAAAACATTACAGGATAAGAAGACTGAATGGGCATTATTAATGTTGTTCTTATTCCTCTAAGCTTTTTTCCTTCCTTTCCTTTTTAAGGTAGATTCCTGCTGGAAGAAGTGATTAGAAGCAAACCAAATTTACAAAAATGTATCACCCATACAAAGCCTTCCTCATGTTAATATTTTTAAGTAGTCTTGCAGGGAAAATTAAACTTTTTTTTCTTAAATATTGGTATATTGTAATGTCTGACACAATACAAAATGAGCTGTGAATTAGGAAATCACTTGCTCAATATCCTTTTCTGCCATGAACTTTAAGAAAGTAACTGTTCCTCAGTTCTTTTATCTCCAAATAGGGATACTAGCCTATCCTATAATTATAGGGTTAGAGGCAACTTGATTTTATTTATGGGCAGAGCAATCCTATGGCCCCTAGACTGTCTAGATGACCACAGGATGCTTTAGATTTCCAGAGCCCCAGCCTCAGAACCAGGGGTCTATATGTGAATCCCGTCCCCTTACAGCATGGAAAGAACTGTGCTGGCTGCTTCACCAAGGCTGTAAGAGCAACCTCCCTGAAGGAAAAAGAGGGCATTTGGGGGTGGGGTGCGGGGGACTTGCTCAGGGTCCAGCTTCCTTCCCTCCCCAGTCCAAACCTAGGCAGTCCAATGGATTGTGTCCTTGCTTTTTTTTCATTGACCAACAGCCAAAGGGTTTTTTGGCTTGTGTAGCTTCAAAGCATAAACTTAACCGAAACAACAACCACCTCAGTCTGTTGGTGCCTGGCTGGGTCTGAGACTTGTGGGGGTGGTTTGTAGTTGTAGGCTATATCATATTAATGAATTGATTTTAATTCTTCAATATTGCTGCTATTGGTTTAGAAATATCAAACATTTTGTACATTGTTGTGCTTATTGTCTCATCTAGTTGGTTTTGTTTTGAATGTTTGCACTTTGTTCTATTATATTTCAATATATTTTAGTTGTTACAAAATGCACTGAGCTCCTTTAATGGTTAAGTGGCAATATAGAAATATAACTTAATAACAATAATAAACTCCAGAGAAAACCAAGAGCAGTGAGAATCATGTTAAAACCAGCAGGATAATAAAGTACTAAAAGTCATTCTTAAAATAGTTGAGAATAAACAGGTCTTCACCAGGCACTGAAAAGGCTACAATAGCAAGCCACTGTTGGGAATGAAAAGGCCCTAAAACAAAACAAGTGACTGTTAACATGACTAGAGGCAGGCATGAGTTTAAGTGGCTGGAGGTGTTTACAACAGCATCATGGTCTGCAGAGCAGTGGTTCTTTGCCCGTGATGTAATGACTTGACTCCCAAATAACAAGCAAACAGGAACACACAATCCAGCATTAAATCCTTTAATAGCATGTCATCAGGCCACAAATTTGATTGCTGCTTTTCTTTGCAGAATCTTTCAGAATGGGTTGCTGTAGAGAGCGATTCTGCACAGCCACAGCTAAGAAAAAAAGTTGTAGAAATGGTGGAGATAACTGCAGCCAGTCTCCGAGGCTTAGGAGCTACTGTGACGCTCAACGCGGTGGGTTTCCAACAGGTATGACCATCTATTATTGATCCTGCCTTGCATCCAAAAAGCCACATGCACAGAGACCTCTTCTGTTCATTTGTGAGAGAAATGTGTGTTTGTCAGAGGCAGGCCTGCTGGCAAATTGCACATTTCCAAGGTCTTCTTGTGTGGGCTGCCACAAATATGAACAGGACCACAGTTTAACGGGTTGTAATTGTCCAATTTTATTTGACTGTATTTTTATTCTTATGGGCCACCATTTAAAATTTGCCTCAGACACCAAATTGTCTTGAGGCTGCCTCTGATCACTGGGCATTTCATACTGGCGTTCCGAAGAAAGCGCCGGGTTTGGGGTGCCCCCATTCTAACAGTGGGTCCCCTCAGAATCAGCACCAGGACCATGATGAGCACAAGATGCCTTGCTGCCGCCATTTTAAATTTCTCACAATGCCCTGATAATAGAACATTTAAAATGGCATCTGAGGATCACTTGGTACCTGGTAGGAGCAGGTTCACCCAGGGTCCCCAGTAGTTGCCCAATTATACCTTGCACTGGTCTGGCTGCTACATGTCTATTGAAATTTGCTTCAAATGCTGGGTTGAGGAGAGATTTTTCTGCCTTCTCATGGATCTATAGACACAATCCTCAAAGCATGAAGCAAACCGGCACCTTCAGCAGGAATAGCTATTACTTGAAGAAAATGGCTCACATAAGGAAACTTTTGCTAGTAGAAGTTCTTGTGGGTTTTAAGGTTTCACCTGACAGTGTTTTAATCTCTCCAACAGCTGCCAAATGGCCAGAGTATTTCTTTACCTCATGTTATTCTAGCAAAGCTTGGAGACGACCCACTAAAACCCACTGTATGTTTTTATGGACACGTGGACGTCATGCCTGCTAAAAAGGAAGATGGATGGAAAACTGACCCCTACAGTCTCACTGAAATTGATGGTATCTATACCACCTTGGGTTTGACATGATTCATATTCATTCTCATTCTCTCTCTCTCATATATAATATATGCTTTTTCCTTCATAATGTTGAAGATTTTTTTAACCACTTTCCTTAACCAAAAGGAAATACTGTAATATATTGAAGACACACACCCTCCTATCATTCTTGGCATTTGCAAGGCATTTTGAGGGCTAGCAACAGCCTTGGATGGGCAGCACCCAGTGCACAGCTGCCTTTGGGCCTCCGCAGGGCTGCTCGGTCCCTGCAGCTCTCTTGGTGCAACATGCAACCCTACTAGTGTTTGGAACCCTGCGGCTACCAACAGTCCCCTCCTTTCCTCCTCTGGATGTGGTACTTCAGTGGTGAAAGCAGATGTGGTGGCACCACCATTGGCTAGGTGAGAACTGAGTGATGACTCAGTCAGACAACTGATATTTTTAACGCCTCAGGCGGCAATGCCTCACATTGTGGGAGGCAGAAGTGACACGTGTCCCCTCTGATCCGAGCAACGGCCCTCCTATGAAGCAGGGTGCAGCCCCTGCCTCAGGTGGCCGAGTGGGAGGACCAGCAAAGGGTACTGCTCCCCACGGGAGTTGCTCCCCTGCTTTGCTGCAGCAACCTGCTTGTCTGCCTGCCTGTCACTCTGCCTCTGGTCTAGCAGACAGGTGGTGAGAAGGAGAAGCAGCCGGGCCAGTGTCCCCTCAGGCCCTGGCTCTCGCCATTCAAGTAATGAGTGCTGGCAATGCTGAGAGTGGAGATGAGGAGCGATGCCTGCTGGTGGCCAGGGCTGTGAACAGGTAGACTCAGTGAGCGAGCTCATTGTGGGTGTCTTGCCCATGGCCTCAAAACCAAGAAGCTGGTCCTGTTGTGCTGATGCTGGAGCGAAGTGCTTTCAAATGTTCAAAGCACCTCACATGCACTGTTTAGTTTCAATCCTTGCAAGTCTCTAAGGTAAGGCATTGTAGTATTATCTTCAAATTGCAGAGGGGAGCACTGAGGCTGAGTGAGAATGGCTTGACTAAAGGCCACATCACAAGTGGGTTCATGGCAGAGGCAGTATTTGAACCCGGTTCTGGTCTGATCCCTCTGCCTTTTAGCCAGTGTGCTACACTGCCCTTGTTTTCTCTCCAGCATTATCACAGACTTCAAAGTTTGATATCGATTGCCTTTATCTTAAGGAAAACTTTATGGACGGGGAGCAACAGATAACAAAGGACCTGTCCTTGCCTGGTTACACGCAGTGAACACATTCAAAGCACTAGACATAGTAAGTACAAATGGTACACAGGTAGGAATTGAAATATTTTAAATGGCTTCAGTGGCATCATATATCATTGCACAGAATTTCCTTCATCAAATTTGCCAGGTGGGGCCACTTGAAGTGCAGCCACAGCAGGAGGTCAAATGCTTTCCCTCCAACACCAGACTTCCCCTTCTGGTGCCCTCCAGATGTTTTGAACTTCCACTTCCATCATCCCCAGTCACCATGAGCAATGGCCAGGAATTCTGGAGGTTGTGAAAGATCTTGTGGACACCAGGTTGTGAGAAGCTGCCCTATACCCTTCTCTATACCACCCCATCATAGCTGCTTGTAGCTATGGAGGAGGAAGCATAACAGCACGATTCTGATCCAAACTAGGTGACCTGCAGTCATTTTTTCAAAAGAAAATTGAATTTCAGGTTCAGATAATAGTACTCCAATATAACATTAAGTTTGGCCACTGGTATTGTCATCCTAAAATGGCACCCGGTAACCTACCAAATTGGGTGGCTTGGTTCCCTGCTTATTTTCTTTTAGGATGCAGAGTGGAGAAGGGGAGCATTTCTCTACCCATGTCTTAGGATGCAGAGTAGGGTTTCAGCTTGAGTTTGATAGTTACATGATAATTACTTTGAATGACTTCAGCTCTACAGGGCCTGATGCACTAGATCCTACAATAACAAAACAACAAGCAGAAGAACTCCCAGAACCACTGTCTATCTGTAATAAACCATAGAGGATGGGTGCCAATAACTGGAGGAAGGCTAATAGTGTCTCTGCCTCCAAAAAAAAAAAAAAAAAAAGGGGAAAAAGGAAGACCCTACAAACTACAGATCAGTATAAGATTCAGGGAAGATTATCAGATTTTCAGACAACACAAAATTGAATGGGATGGCTAATATCCTGGTAAACAGAAAGAAATGCAAAGTTGTCTTGATAGGCTGGAATGCTGGTCTGGAAACAGTAGAATTTAAGAAGGACAAATGCCAAGTTCTGCATCTAGGAAGAAGAAACCAGAGGTGTAGTTACGGGATATGGGAATGCTTGGCTAAACAGTACAGCAAACAAGAAGGATCTTAGGATTGTTGTTGCCTCATATTCAGCTTATGAACGACAATGGAATGTTGCTGCAAAGAGGCAAACACTTATGTGCTGCATGGCAGTAACAGAAGTATCACTTCCAAAGCATGTAGAGTACTAGTTTCCCTACCCTCAGCTCTGGTAAGGCCTCATCTTGAGTGCTTTGTCTAGTTTAAGAATGAAGATGACAAATGGAAGGGTGCAGAGGAAGACAAAGAAGATGATCCAGGGAATGGAAACAAAGCTCTGAAGAGATGCTGAGAGAATTGGTCATATTTAGCCTTGAGAAGCATGAGGGAAGAGACAATAATATTCTTCAAGTACTTGAAAGGCTGTTGGGCAGAGGAGAGCCAGGATCACTTCTTGATCCTCCCAGAGTGCAGAGAATAATGGAATAATGGGTTTAAGTTACAGGAAGTCAGATTTCTGCTGAACATCAGGGAAAGATCCTGTTAGCAAATTCAGTTATGGAACCAATTACCTAAGGAGGTCATTGGCTATCTCACACTGAAAATATTCAAGATGCAGTTGGAGATCCAGGCTTAGAGTCCTGAATTGAGGAGAGTGTTGGATCCTATGGCCTTATTGATCCCTTCCAATTCTACTATTATCCTATGATTTAAAATGCTACCCCCTCTGAATGACTATTAACATTTCAATATACTAGCAAACTGGTGAGAGCTAGTTGTTAAAGAAAGCTGACCCAGTATTGTTTTTGATGAATCGGTGCAAATAACTGGCCGGACAATTTAAGTATTGGGTTCACTTGCAGGGCATTTGGTTAATTTAAGCTGCAATCCTACTCATATTTTGGCAGAAAAAAGTCATACAAGTCCCAACATCCCCCAGATGGCACTGCTGGCAGGGAATGTGAAGAACTGTGTGACTTTTCATCTGTCCAAACATCTCCAAGATGGTGCCTGATATCCTAGGTAGGTGCCCACAACCCTTTGAACTCAGAAGGTTGCAAGGCATGTGTCCCACAAAACTTGTGAGGGGAAACTTGGAGGCACTGCTTGGATTCTCTACAGAATGGTGGTGATTCACTTCTCCCTTTCTGGCCTCCATGGAACAGCCACACCCCTTCTACCTGCCCAAGATTGTCCATCTTTGGAATTGCAGCTGGCACAAAAAGAACTACATTGAGTGTGAGGGCATAGGGAGAGTCTTCCAAAGATGGGATCTCTGCAGCAACCTCAAAGGGCTTTTCTGAGGCCATGCCATGCCTTCTCGAATGGTTCCTGGACAGTCTAGTCACCATAACAGAGCCTTTAGTTGGTTTAAAGGGTCTTGGTGTTTGTTTAAAAATTTCTTATATGCTCTCTATTGTAAAATCTCAAGACAATTTACAACAAAGGACAAAAAAAGAATTATATATTAAAATGTTATTATAACAATAATAGTTAAAAATTCCTTAGTACTCATGTGCCTCACCTAATTTAAATACAGTATTGATTAAAAAAAAAACTGGGAGAGTAAAAGTGTCAGGCCAGGTTTTGGCCTGGTGCTGGAATGAATGAAGCATCAGTGGCAAGTGCACCTTTCTGGGGAGTGAGTTCCATAAAAACAATGTAGCATTGTTTTAAACTGTTTTATGGGTTTTAGTTCTTGCTGTAAGGTGCCTCACATCTCTCTCTCATAGGTAAAGGCATAAATGATTGTGATGATGATCATGATTATAATAGGCTCTAACAGGTGGATCATAAGCCTACAGAACTCCAGGTTGTCTGATTTCCCATCAAAATCCCTTTTAGTAAATGGGACTTCATTTCAGCCCTTGGCATCTCCAGTGAAAAGGACCTCTGGAGAAAGGGCTCTGCCAAGCTTCTGATGGGAAGCCTTGCCCTAGGGAAATGCTGCTCATCAAATGAATGCTTATGACTCCAATGGAACATTGGCCTGACTCGCATAAAGGGCACTTTGTGTTTCTAATCTAAAATAGCACTTCTCAATGAATTAACGTCAGAACACAAATTCCTGAGCTCCATGGAGCTCATAATAAAGATACAAATCATAGACCATTTTTACTGAATTATAAACTTCTTCCAGTGCTCTTAAATTGTACTCTCTACTATGTCCTTAAGGGTGACAAATTTTGTTTTTTAGGATTTGCCAGTCAATGTCAAGTTTATCATTGAAGGCATGGAAGAATCAGGGTCCATTGGACTAGAAGACTTACTTGAAAAAGAAAATGAACATTTTTTCTCCGATGTGGACTATATTGTGATTTCGGATAATACCTGGCTCTCCACAAAAAAGCCAGCTCTCACGTATGGAGTTCGGGGAAATGCCTGCTTCAATGTGCAGGTAAAAGTGTAACGCAGAAGCCATTTGTGTCTAAAATAGAGTGTGATTCTCGTGTTAATTGGATGCATATGCTGCTACCTATAAAGCATGGTCAACAACCCTGTTGGCTGTGGATGGTGGGAATTATAGCCCAGAACATCTGGAGAGCACCAAGTTGGGGAAGGCCACTATAGCGAATCTTTCCCTCACTTTATTTTCCATCTTAACTGAATTTGGCTATTCAATATCACAGTACTGGCATTTCTTTATCATATATTTTATCACTGTATTTGCATGATCACCGCCCACTGTGGCTTCTTTAAGCCATGGCGAGTTTGTGGCACATCCAAGCACATGTTGGGAAGCTGTGCATTGTTGTGTTTGAACCTGCTAAGGATAGGCTGTAGGTATGGTTAACAAACCACCTAGAACCTGTTGTCTATTTTAGGTCAGTGGATGGTTTAACTCACCACTGTTGTGTTTGCACATCACAGCAAGTTGCAGTGGCAGCTTGAATATGCCAAGTGGCCATCCGCCCATACTGCAGTTCACTCTGGATAAATAAGCCATGGTAAGCTGCCTTATTCTGTGAACGGGCCCATGCAGTTGCCTCATTTGATCCTCATCCTCATAACAGCCTTCTGAGACAGTTCAGGCCAAAAGGAATAGTGACTTTCCCAAGAGAGCTTTATAGCAGAAGGAAGCATTAAACAAGTTCCTGCATTCAGCTCCAGTACTTTAGCCAGGATGCCACCCTGGCTTTAATGTTATATGCGTCAGATTCTCAGGCCAGTTCTTTCCTGGATGCTTGAACCATTCCTACAATCTCTGCTGGAGGTACCAATGAATGACCTAAGGCCACTTCCCATTGCTCTTGCGAGGAGAATCCAGGGAGAAGGATAAACACATGGGCCTCCTATTGCATATACATTTGCATCAGATTTGTGGGATAACTGAGTACCATTCTAGGCTGATGTATGTTGCTATATCTGAGGATACTGAAGTAGCACCTCCAGTCTCAAAACTAATTTCTGTCTGGATAGCTTTTTTTCCTTCTTTGTGATCATTTGATCCTAGGGATATTCATTCATGGTTGCTCATCATGGTGATGAACCACAGAATTCTGGGGAAGAAGGTAGCATTGGTATAATTCTTCCTTCCCAGAGATGGCATCTTTTAAAAAGAGTTATCTTGGTCAGGTCAAAAAGCACTGAGCATTTGAATCTTGTTCAATTAATCCAAAGCATTAATCTTAAACCAGAGGAATCTACACATACTGATTTATGCAAAAACAAACAAAAAGAAAATACATTTAAACTTTTGCTGTGAATACCATGGAAGTGTCATCACGACAAATTCAAATTAGTTTAAATGTTCCACGCCTAACCAGAACTGTTGTGATAATTAAAACAATGATAATTATGTGTCAGCTAATGTTTTGTCTTTGTTTCAACCAGGTAGAAGGTGGTGAAAAAGATCTCCATTCAGGAACTGTAGGTGGCATCATCCATGAACCAATGTCAGATCTGGTAGCCCTACTTGGTAATAAAATTGTGTTCATTGGTCTATAGAATCTCTAGGCAGCCAGAAATTAGGGTGTGCATGCACCATAAAAGATTAGAATGCTTACAGAGCAATCCTATTCACGTCTGCTCAGAAGCGATTCCCGTTGGATTTAGTGAGGCTGACTGAAGTCTGTATAGGATTGCGAGTATAGGATTACCACCATAGCTTAGTTTGCATGAGCAAGTTAGGCAGTTAATGGAGTAAACCTTAGTCAAGGAAGGTTCATAGGGGATGTGGAGTAGAACAGAAGATGTGTAACTTTAATTGACATCCAAAAAATTTCTAAATGAACATGCACATGTGAATAAACTTTTGTGGGATGCTCTGTGGAAAAAGGTGGAGGAATAGCGGGAGGATAATAGCTGGGATAAATAGCACTGCAGATGTTAATCCAGAAAACCCTTTACTAGTCCTAGTATAAGGTAAAGTTAGTACCTATTGTATGTGATAATAACCAAAGTGTTGCAAGCACTGAAATAAAATAATAATTAGAACATGACATGAAATTAGGTACCAGCTGTATTAATATAATTAATGTATTACAAACCCTTGGTGTGGCATTAATTTGTGTGAACATTAATTGGTGCAGAAATGCTGAAAACTTTATTAACATGACCTGAAGCTTAAAGTGTTTTAACTTAATTTGAAATGCAAATAGGAAATGACCCGAATGCACTGCATTATATTTTTAAATGGCTTTTTCCATCCGCTTTTACAGATCGCACAATAGCACGTACTGTTTCATCTTCATAATGAAAGAGGCTTTAGCTTGCCTTTTTCCTGTAGTGCAAAATAGATCAGGGTCAGGCAGGCGCTCAACTACATGAGATCTCACACAGCAGTACAGGAGCCTGACACAGTAGCAATTGCGTGTTTTTATCCTTGTTCCATAGACAGCCTTGTGAATTCATCTGGTCGCATTCTGATCCCTGGAATCTATGATGATGTAGCTCCACTTAATGAAGAGGAGAAGCAGCTGTATGAGACAATAGAATTTGACCTGAAGGAATACAAAGCTAATATTGGTGTAAAGGGATTTCTTTATGACACCCAGGTTAGTACTGTCTTTTGGTAAGAGTGGTCTGAAGAAATGGAGAAGAAATATCCCACTACAGTGCCATCCTCCACATAGTTACACAAAAGGAAATTCCATTGGACTCTATGGGGTTTACTCCCAGTTCAGAAGATAGAGGATTGTAGACTGAATTGCATTTTAATTAATGTTGATTTGATTAATGTGGATATGGACTTTGGATTAAAAAGGAAGCAAATGTTTTACTATAGGGTACATTTTACTGCATGCCTACACCATTCATTGAAACTTGTTATATCATTCAGTAGTCTTATTGAGTGAGTGATGAGTAACTAAGGCCTATCTAATTTTTTATTTCTTAGGAGCAAATCCTCTTAAACTTGTGGCGATTCCCATCTCTCTCTATTCATGGAATAGAAGGAGCTTTTTGTGATCCAGGGTTCAAAACAGTTATACCATCAAGAGTCACAGGGAAATTTTCTATCCGGCAAGTTCCCTATATGGACCTTTCTAAAGTGGAATGTCAGGTAATATTGCCTGGATGCATGTTATGATTATGGGGATTATTCAGCTTGTTTCCAGATGACTCTGTCACAGTCACTGTTGCAGCCCTTATGCTGGGACTTCTGAAAGGAAGGCATCTGACCATATTCAAAGTGTATTTCTGCCCCCTTCCTGCAGTGATTAACAGATGAATGCTGGCATAATTGCCATTAAAGGAGAAAAGCTTCCGTGCAAGATACCCTGAGACTGTGCTTCATATTTAACAAATTAAGCTTTGAAATGATAGTATGCTGTCCTTGGTGTTAATGTTCCATGCAAGAGAGATTAGAAGCCTGCCACAAAAGAATCAGCAGCATAGTTGATATAAATATATGAAATTCCCTTGCCTTTTTTTCTCTGTCACCTTAGAATTGTCAGCTCACAATTTCAACATTGGCATTGGTAGAACTCCCTTGTCATGGTCTACATGAGTAAGCCAGCATCCATTTCCTTTCCCCAAACTCTTACTCATAACAGTGCCTTTTGGAAGTATTCACACCCTTTGTCTTTTACACATTTTATGTGGAACACAGGAATTGAAAAGCATTTCATTGGCATAGTTGTCACTTGAAGTGCACAGGATACACAACACTGTGAAGGTGCGAAGTATTTTTTTACTGTGGCACCACAAAACCAACTTGCGCTTGTTTGCATAAGTAGTCAGGTCAATACTTGGTAGAAGTCCCTTTGGCAGCAGTTCTGGTTATGAGTCTTCTCTGGATAGTCCTATCATCTTGGCACATCTGGATCCTGCACTGTTTTATCTATATCTTTTAGAGGTCTATCCTTCCCATTAGCCAAAAAGTGTGACCACTGTCCCTGGCAAAAGAGTATGAGGTCAACCAGGTTGGATAAGGACATCTGATGAAGAGCAACTTCCAAGGCTTGCCACAGATTCTCCAGTGGATTGAGGTCTGGTCTTGGAATGGGCTACTCTGAGACATTCAGTTTCTTCTTTTTAAACCACTCCAGCATTACTTTGGCTGTGTGTTTAGGGCTACTGTCCTGCTGGAAAGTGAACCCCAAACCCCAGTTGCAGGTCCCTTGAAGACCAAAACAGGCTTTTCTCTGAAATGTTCTTGATTTGGCTCCCTCTATCTTGTCCTAAGCTGTGTGCTAACTCCTGCTGAGGAAAAGCTGCTTCCTCCTCCATACTCCCTTGAGGGGATGGTGCACTCAGGGCAGTGCACACTGTGGGCTTCATGCCCTGCACTGATTTTGCAGTGGCTCTGATGGTCTGCAGCTGTGCTCAGGCAGGGCCCTGAAGGCTGGGAATCAAAAGCATTCAGTTGCAGACCTTAGGTGGTGCAGCAATGTTTGAATATCAGCTCCTAGATCTTGCAACCTAGTTTTCCTGATGCTACTTCTTCTCTTGATTGATTTCCCATGCTGTTGACTCCAGCCTCCTGCTAACACTCTGCTTCTTGGATTGTCCTTTCATTGGACTGCTTCCACATGCATGACTTTGGCTCTGTTCAGACTCTGCTGTTGGAAGCTGTTCACATGTAACCGGTAATACTACGCTTTGGACCACTGCCTACCTTGCAGATGCATTTGCTCCACAGGCTTTCCCAGAACTAAGCTTGAAGCAGCCAGGGCAGGACACTCATGCAGACAAGAGGGAGCCCCCGATAATTGCAAATTTGGTGTAATGTCTGAGGAAGGGAGAATATTGGTGCACTTGTACCTACATAGGCTTCTACTGTGTGGTTGGACCTTCTGCATGATAGGGGATTCCAGTCATGTAGAACCCTACCTGGTACAACAGTACAATGCAGTTGGCTGGCAGATGTTGACAATGGAGTGTGTTGGCACTTATGATGTCAGCAGGCACAGACCTCCTCCTTCCTCCAAGCATTAATATTCAAGCAGAGCATGACTGAAGGGCTCAGTCAGGTTTCTGAGTTCCCACTCTGGCTTATAGCTTCTCCTGAATGTGTAGGAGCTTCAGTTTCCTCCTTAATTAACAGCTTATTCAGTTTCTTCTCTTCCCTTTTTCTTTCGCTTCATACTGTTCTTTCAATGTATTATTTTCTCACTCTATCTTCTACCTTCAGCCTCCTTACCCATTGAAAAGAGAAATTGATTAATCCTTAGTTTCTTCCATCTTGGAAAACTTGTGTACGTTCTGTGTAAGGTTTTAGCCCTAAGTAAACTTTCCACACCTGAACAGAATCTGAACTGCAAATCCTTGAGTTTCCCAACAACTGAACATTCTGTGCGGCACCACCAGCTTATTCATTCATATCAGAGTATTCACTGCTATGAGCAAAATATGTTATGGATAATATTAAACTGTTGTATTGCTTTTTAGGTGAAAAAGCATTTAGAAGATGTATTTGCTAAACGAAAAAGCCCAAACAAACTGACAGTGTCTTTGCAATTGGCTGCAAAGCCATGGATTGCTAATCCTAGTGACCCTCAATATGAAGCTGCTAAAAAGGCAATTAAAAAAGGTTTGAACTGTTTTTGCTATACACATTTTATTTCAAATAACTTGAAAACATGCTTTCACTCTGTGTCTCTAGTGTTGGGAAATATATGTAAAGAACAAAAGTGAGCAACATGCTTCTATGCAGTATATATACTCATTCTGAGATTAGTGTTTTTAACTTTGTTAACAAAGGGTAGATTTCGAAGGTCCCTAGTGTTTCAGTTTTCGCAGATTCATGTTCTCCATGTATAGTGCATTACAGTAATTTGGTTTACAGATAACCAGAGTGTAGAATACTGAAACTGGGCTACCCCGGTGCAGACAGGGGCATAACTGGGCCACCCTCTGAAGCTGATAGGAGGCACTCCAAGCCTCTGAGGCCACCTGAGTCTCCAGTAACAAGGATGGATTAAAGAACATTTCAAAAGGTTTTTTTCCCAATATCTTTTGTAACTTGAAAAATATAAACAGTCAGTGTTGGCAGTGTTTTTATTTCTAGCTTTTCTGTTTTTATCATTTTATGCTGCCCTTTATCAAAGGGACTGGACATCATGCCTGCCTGCCCACCCCCTATTTTATCCTCACAATGGTCCATGAGGTAGGTTAAGCAGGGAGAGCGTGACTAGACCAGGGTCATCTAGCCAGCTAATGTCATCACTGAGTGGTGACTAAAGCCCAGGGTTCCCTGGGCTAAGCTGAACACTCTGCCCATTGCACAACACGATAGACAAGCATTAAAGACTGGCAGTTGATAAAATCCTCAAATGGGTTCTATTTGTCAACCGAAAGGTGTTTTTAATGAGGACGAGGAGGATTCACAAATACACTTTGTACACTGAGTCCCATTTAATATTTTCAATAGTAGGGGTTTGGATTCAGATTCAGAGGGATGTCAGGCCACACATGGGATTGTGACTACCTGCATTGGTTTTAGTTTTTAACTACCACCAAAAGTACAACTTCATTTTGTTGAAAGAGGAGTATACTCTTCTTTTCATATGCTTCAGTCTTTAACCAGGATCCAGATATGATCCGGGATGGATCAACAATTCCAATTGCTAGGATGTTTCAGGACATCACAAAGAAGAGTGTGATCATGTTTCCAATTGGAGCAGTGGATGATGGAGAGCACTCCCAGGAAGAGAAAATAAACAGGTTAACAATTTAGACCCTTTTATTTATTTAAAACATCTGTATGCATGTAGTAGAACTTTGGAATGGGCATAATTCTCTCTCTAGACCAGGACAAGGGGCAAGCCGCTTTTCATAGTGGAAGAAAAATGAATGCGTCCCTCTTCCCCCATTACTTCTATGAGTGTTGCCCTTTTCCTTTTTCCTTCTGACTTTCTACACATTTTTAAAATGTTTCCATAAACACAATCACCAGTGCTATTGCAGTGGATTACCTGTGTTAGCAGGGGATTGCACAGGTAAGCTTTGCAATCCTTTCCAACTGATGCTAACTAACCTGGATACAAGGCCTGCCTCTTTTATTACAATTAACAGTTTTGACTTTGTGCTTTACTGCATGGTTTATGCATGATCCTGAGTCCAAAAAGCAGCATTAATTAAGTCAGGTGTCACTAATAGATCAAGGACTGCTAACAAGGAAGTTTTCTGTTTTCTAAATCAATTTGATGCCATTCTCCTTCAGTAGAAAGAACCCTCCCTGGCTATCAGTCCCTGTCAATCAAAGCTAATCATACAAATATTATTAAAGAGCTTAAAGCAGGGCTTGGTGAGTCTTTTTTAATCAAGTGTCATTACAGTAACTGTTGATTCTTCTGTTGCCCTTGGACCTCCATGGGTCTGTGGCTGCTATTGATAATAAATGCCTATGATCTGCCTCAGCATACTCTCAGGGACAGTAATCTGTTTAGGAGTAAGCTTTCTTCATTGTACCATCATGCTGAACTGCTTTGCCCAAATATTCCAGTTATTTTGGCTGGGGATTTAAATGCATGTATAGGTGTATCTTTACAGACTTTTCAAGGTTTGGAATTTTGATTACTGGTTCATACTTTTCTTTCCTCCATTTTGAGCCTATGATCTGCAAAAAATGTAGTGAATTCTGGTGGTCTGTTTTTGATCAGATGAGCTGCTAAACTGGGTCTAATATTGTAAATGGAGATACGATAAGGCAGGGCACTTTATCTCTCTGGCAGAGGGTGTAGCTTGAATGATTTTTTGTTTTTGTTCTTTCCTTCATCCCCGATTTCTGATTGTGTTGGATCATTTTGTTTTGTTTGGAAACTCTTATGATAGTGATCACTTATCTCTACAGTTGGAATTGGATTTGGGAATAAAAGCTTGTTCTATTAGGAATGACATGGGAAGATGCTTCACCAGCGTTAGGGCCAGGTAGAAAAAATTGGTAGAACAAATTTGGTTGGCATTGAGCTCACTGTTACTGATGGATAGAAGGGACAGGTTTCTTTCTGGACCTCTAGACAGCACTCCTATTTTTCTTCCAGATACTAAAACTATTGCAACCTTTTTTGTGGAGGGGCTGGGGGTGGTCTCAAGATCAGTCATAAAGAGGAACAGTGTACCTCCCTGGTATGACAGATTTTGGAAAGCTTTGAAGAAGAGGAAATCTCAATCTAGGTTACATAAAGAAAGATTCTTATTCTATACTTTTGAGATATTTACAGGTTAAGCACCAACTTAAGAAATATAGTCAGTTAAGTAAAAGGGTTTACAGAAGAGCTGTTGGTTAGAATGACTCCAGTCCTCTTCTGTGTGAGATCCCCATAAATGCTGGCACTTGATAAAGGCTGTTGCAAGGGTATTAGCCACTCCCGGTGCGATTGAAACTTTACCACATTTTCTGTTAGTTGCCACGTACCGTATTCTGCAATGGCAAGCTTTATGTTGCCTTTACTCAGTAGGCTCCCTTGCTGTTCACATGATTTCCTGCTGCCGTTCTTTTTGGATGGCACCAAGAGGTATGTCACCCCATCTGTGGCAAAGTTTATATTCTGTGTCCTTAAAACTAGACAGGCCTCTGTTAATCTTTTTCTGGGGTTCAGCATCAGTGAGGCTGTTGTCATATTAATACATTGATCTGTTTTGCCAAGGTTCCTTGGGGCATGTAGGTGTTTTGATTTTGGGGAGGAAAAAAAGCGTCACTAATAAAGGGTCAAGAACCTAAGGGTTGAGAACGTAAGATATACCTCTATCTATTTCATTGTCTAACTCTGACCCATTATAGGATTAAGTATGGGTGTACCTTGATTGTTCTTACTAAAAATACTGATAAGTATGTTAAAGAGCAAGAGCTGAGTGAAAATCAGACTTACTTCAAAAGTTTTCTCTTTGTGATTATGTGTCTGTTGTGTGGTCTTCCTGCCTCAAACATGGAACAAACATCTATTTGCTACCTCCTGTGTATTCCATCCCACTTCATCTTCTATCCTGTTTTTTTAATCATACAATATCCGTTACAAGGGAACAGATAAGAGCTGCACAATGCCATTTAGCTAGGAATTATAATTCTTCCCTCCCTCCCATTTTCTAATGTGTTCATATGCTCAGTCAGTTGTTGTTATTATTGGAAGAGTCATTTAGTGAATGCTCTGTGTGCCCTCAGATTTTTATAGGAGTTCTATTTGACTCTTCAAAGCAGCACAACATCCTTCGCATACAGACTGCTTGATGATTTTCTTCTTCTTTCCTAATCAGATCAAGCTACATTAATGGAATAAAAGTGTTTGCCTGTTATTTATTGGAGATCTCAAAGCTCCATGGACAATTAAAGGAAGCCTCCAGTTTGAAGACTGATACATGATGGCCCATGAAGAAACTAATGTCTGTTGATACTGTACTTTCCTTATGTATTGTCAGTTCCAAAGAAATATGTATAAAATTGCCAAAACTCTAATGATTTTCTAGAAATTCATGTCCATAACTGGTAATTGTGCTGTATTACATCACATTCTCATTTTGAATGCATGTTATCACTTTATGCACTTCATTCATTTTTATATATCTTATTTCACTGATATTCATTCTTTTGCATACAGGAGGTTTGTTCCCTGATAACCCAGGCCCACCTGTATCAAAAGTGATATGTACCATGTTTCCATTGTCACTCAATTCCTGTGTCCATTATGGACCCCTGCATAATTTTTTTAGTCTTCCTCTGTAAGTCTGGTACCACAACAAGGCAAAATTGGGTGCTCTGACTACTGTTTTCTTTATTGCAACATTTCACTAGTGTAGAATCCCAATAGATATCTATTTTGTAATACTAATTATCTTTTGCAAGCTTCTGTTTTCTTTAATGTCTGAACACAATGATTTTTAAACTGTAGTGCTACTGCTAATATTTTCCAGTTATACCACATACACTTTTACTGAAGATTTCTTACATAATACATCATCTAAGGCTAAGATTATCTCTAGCTTTGTTAATACAAAAATGGTCTAATTTTTTACTCCTTTTATATTTTCAAAGGAACTTCTGTCATTTATGAATAGAGGGAGATTGTTCTGAGTAACAGAAGCTTTTAAAAAACTAGGGGAATACATTATTATTCTACCAGTCCTACACCTATGTGCAACCTGACAGAACCTGTTGACAGCCACCTCGTTGTAAGGCTGTGACTAAATGCAGAGTCCATGGCTTCCACATAAGTCACTGACACTACCTTTTCATTTTATCACCTAGCCTGAAGAAACATTCTGGAGAATTTGAAAGCCTATACACTATTTTGTGGCCTTTTGAGTTGGCCCAATGATGGAATGATCCAACATGGATTTTTGATAGTATAACAATTATAACACTAATTTTTCTTAATTACCTGTCGGTCAAAGATTATTCACTTAGGTTGCACACTGGCTTTGGTGTTGCTTAGCAGTTGTAGGTGAAAGTGATGCTTACCCTACACCCATAGAAAGAACGGGCATACATTCTGATACCATTCAAGCAAGAATTAGATTAGAAATTGGTGTCAAAACCTGGGCAAAAGTGACCCCAAAGCCTCTGAGAAAGCAACAAGAGGGTTCTAAAACCTATTCTGGGCAGTGACTTTTCTCTTCCAACCACTAATGTATGAAGATGGTGGGATTTGTTTATACAGCATTCCAAGAACTGGCTTCTGAGTTGCAAATAGAACTAAACATTAGAACTGGTAATAGCTTTGTATTTTACTTGTATTCTTTCTTGTTTGGGGTCAAATCAAGATAAAATATACTTTGATGTTTTACTTCATAATAAGAGTCTGCTATTTTTTCATTTATGTTTAATTTTGGAATTACCATTTGTATACTAGTGATATATAGTGTCAGATTTACATATGGGCTAAGCAGGCTGTAGCCCCATGACCTCATAATTTGAGGGGCCTCAGCCCCCTGTCAATTTTTTTTTTAAATTTACCATTAATTTTATTTCATTTGTAACAAGAAAAACCAGGGGTGTACCTAGGTGAAAGATCAATTTCTAGGCTAAAAGGGATAAAGAATGATCTATGGTCAACAATGTCCCAAGTCTGGGTGTCTGAGCTAAATATTCTCTGCACAGAAAATGATAAACTGCAGCTTACTATTTTTTTAAGTATATAAGTTTGCATCCAAAAAGCTCAAAAGAAACTCTAAGTTTGTATATAGTATAATATTATGACATAGCTATGATTCCCCTATGAATGTTCTGTGTGAATGTCTTAATTCCATACTTTAGTCAGTTTATTAAAGGTTATAAATTTAGAAACAACCTTTTCATCAATGCCAAACTTTCAGCAACCTTCTACTTGCATTGAGTGGATAAAGAAGAGAATGAGCTTCATTTTTCATTATCAGATGCTATTAAGTTTGGGCCTCCCAAGGTCTCCTAGCCCACAACCTCCAGTTGCTTTAATCTGGGACTGGTGAGATAAGTACAGCAATGTACCTTTTTCGAGTTGTTCATGCTTTCACATTTTTTGTATTTGAACGTAAGGCTTTTTACATGATAAACAACTATCTAAGAATACCAGTTAAGCTTTTATGGGAATCCTAATGCTTAAAATGTTAGTAAAGTCATTTAAAACGTAGACAGACTGTTTATTGACTGCTGATACACTGAAATAATTGAGATTATGGTTTGATACTGAACCAAGAAAACAGGGAAGTACTACAGGTAGGTTATGAACAACCCATACTTATGTGTAGACTGCCATAAGTTCTATATAAATATCTCGAAAGAAAAGCCGTGAATATTTCTAGGGAACTACATGACCACTGATGTCATTGCATAGTTGCCTAGAGATAGTCATTACTTTTCATTAGAGTAAAAGGTTCTTTAGAGAGTTTCACAGCTTTTTTCTAGATACTGTAAATTCTTGGCTATCTCTAGGGACCTTCATAATGCTGTTGTCCACAAAAGTGGAATTCAGTCCTGGTGGCTGCATAGTTCCCTAGAGATAGTCACAGAAACCTATTTCCTTGGACCAAATGTTTTCACCTTCTCCAAGGAACTCTTCATCACTGCAGACAACATGTTTTCTGCTCTTCCACATAAGCCTTGGGATCCATCAGGAATTGAAAATAGAAACTCAACAAATCTCAGTCAGCTCTGCCCCTGTACATGGACCCACTGAGACTAATTTGCCAGGGATTAAAATGTTCTGAATGTAATTGGGCAATATAGCCCTATTAAAACAAATACCAAAATTCTGTACCTTTTAAAATGATTTTGCATGGTTATCATGCAAATATCCCCTATGAAAGGTTACTGTCTGGTTATTTCTTAACAGGTTACAATATGCATAATAATAGATTTTCAGTTTCAGCTGGTACAGGTAGCTTCAGGGTAATTCAGTGCGCCACTGTTTTCTCCTGTCAACTTGCAATAAATTTACAGTCAAACTTACCTCAATGGATTTCAGCTTTTCCTCAGTGGATTTGAGGAAAATCCATTGGTTTCAGGTGAAGGAGAGCTTGGCTCCTCTTTCTGCCACTCAGAACAAACTAAGATCACCTGTTTTAAATCTTCTTTTGTGCCCCAGTATATTTACATTGTGTTGGATCATAATAATATAATATTTTGCAGATTCTGCCCCAAGTACATTTTGTTTGTAGAAAGAAAACTGTAAAAGCCAGGTGGCTGAAATTTGGAGAACTCATTTACTACTGTGCATTTGGTAATGTCCTGGATTGTAGGATCTAGTTATATGTATGTTATACAATAAAATGTGAGCCTGTGGTTTGAGAGTCTCCCAGGGATGCTGGATATATTAATCAAACCCTTTAATTGAACAAAAGGTGGCCAACCCTTTTGAGAAGGGCCAAAGGGGTGAGGAAATCAGTGTTTGCTGAAGAGATTGCTACATGTGCAATTTGAAGAAAGGCAGCTAATTTCTGTTTTTATCTATGTCTGTAAGTGTGTGCCCTCAATGGCCTGAAGTGCTTGTGTGACAGACTTGTTGCGTGAGATCCATGGTTCACTTTATTAGTACTATGCTGTACTAAGGAGAATAAGTAATGATTTGCTATCTGCCAGTTTAATGATATACTATCTGCAACAGATGAGAGCATAAAACCTGCCCCACATTAGCCATTAATTCTGGAATACAGATTATTGATATGGTTCACCCCAGAGACTAAGGTTCAAGGACCTCGTGATAAGTTTAAGTTACTCTGATAATATGCTGGTATTTTAACCTCTAGTAGTAGTCAGATGTTAAAAATGCATTTTTAAAAGAGGAAGTAAGATTCAGAAGTGAAATCATCCTACTATCTAGTTAAAACAATGTGGGCAGTCTATCGCTTTTTTGCTCTCTCTGTGGTCAGGATAAGAGGCAGCTGTTGCATTGAGCAATGACTGGGGGTGGGAAGTCCCTAGGCTGCAGTATGTGACTAGTTCCCAGTTCGGTGCTTGCAGCATCTGCTTCCCTGTTTGAGAGATGGGCTGTCTTCAGAGGCAATCTTGTGTGCTCATGGTCTCCCCAAGATTAGGCCTAAAAACGAGGTTTCCATGTGCAGAGCAAGAGTATGTACAAGCTGGTTACAAGGTAGTTGAGTCTTCCTACATATGCAATTTTGCTTAAGAGTTCTTCCCATGAGCCTTTCATTGTGCACGTGCCCTGCACCCATTAGAAATGGGAGGGACAGGCAATCTTATAGACTATCCTCCAAGGAATAGACAGAACAGTGGCACCATGTGCTTTATTTATTTTAATATAGCTTTATACCATTTTACATCTAAGCAGATTTAGGAGGGGTGAACAGTAAAACATAAAAAGAATAAAATTGGTGTTTTTTTAAATAAAGGAATACCAATAACAACTGTGACTGCTTCATCAAGGAACGCTTGTTAAAATAAAGATGTCTTCAGCAAGTGTCCAACACAACACAATGTTGGTGCCTGCCTGATCTCCAGAGAAAGGGAACTACCGGAGTAAATGCTGTTCTCCAGGTGTACTTCTCTTAGCCAATAGGTCTATGCCAAACCATCAAGAGCACCAATCAGGCCATAGGTCTATGCAAAACTACCAGGAACCTCCCATTTAATGACTTCAGTGACTGGACAGCTTGATATGGGGAAACTGCTCTTCCCCTTAAGTAGATCCCCAGTTGTTTAGACCATGATACATTAGTAGTAGAACCTTAACCCTAGACTAGTAACAAATAGGCAGCCAGTGTAGTTTTTTCAGCAAAAGATTTGCATGCTGAGAAGGTGTGGTTTCTAACAACAGCCAGGCTGCTGCATTCTGCACTGGCTTCAGCTTGGAACCAAAGTAGGAGCAAGGTCCAGAAGCGAGGGCCAAGAGCAGGAACTCAGCAACAATCAGGAAGCAAAAAGCACCACAACAAGTCAAGAGACTTAGTTGCTGAGGCAGCTTTTGGA